GTGCAGGTTCTGAGTTTGGTTCCCAGTACCAAAAAAAGGAATTTAAAAATACTATTTCTTTAAATGTATCTTGTGAAACATCAATTCCATCTCCAGATTTCTGAAATTGCAGGCATTAGAATCCCCTGGAGTTCTGGAATTCTGACTCCTGGGCCAACCTGGTCCTTGGAAGAGATAGTGGGGGAGGAATGTTAGTCTAACTAGCACTAGGGTACTTGTATAAATACTACAATTTGAGAAGTAAAGAGCTAAAAAAACCCAAAGTGCTTCTGAAGCATGCTTGCTTAGATCAACCTTAGTTGATGTCTTATACTTTTGTATTGAGCTCTGTACTACTGTACCTTTTTCAAATTTTTATAAAATTTTACTTGGCAGTATTTATATGGGATATAATGTGATGGTTCAATATATGTATGTGTAGTAGAATAAATCTGACATCTCATGATCATCACTGTGATGAGAACATTTAAGGATCATTCTCATTTTTATTTTAATTTTATCAGTATGTGTTTGCAGTACACGGTGATACATTCATCCTGGGGGGGGGGAGCTGGTAATGTACATCACACATCTCAGTTCACACATCAGTCTCTTTGCTTCCTCCACTCCCCCCTCCATCTCTAGATCCACCTCTAGATCCCCTTGTTACTTGCAAAATGCTGTCTCCCTGTTTCCTATACTTTTATTTTTTCCATTTACATTTTATTTATTCCATTGTGCATAAATACATTTCCTTTATCCATTCAACTGCTATGGACATATAGGCCACTTTCAAGGTTTAGCTAGCGTGAGTTGTGCTGCTATAAACATGGATCTCTCTCTCTCTCTCTCTCTCTCTCTCTCTCTCTCTCTCTGTCTCTCTCTCTTTCTTAGTGAGGGAAGTGTGTTCTCTTGGCAAATACCTGTAACTGTGCTGTGCAGCAGACGACAAAAACATTCCTCTTGAATCAATGAATCTGGTGCTCTTGGGCCAACATCTCTCCATCCCCTCTCAGCCCCCAGCTGCTGTTAGCCACCACTCTGTATTCTTCTATGACCAGCCTACATAAACATTTGCTATATACCAGCAGACTTCACTGTCTCACCTGGCATAATGTCCTTCAGGTTAATCCATCCTGTCCCAAAGGATAGGAGTTTAATGTCCTGCGAGGAGGTTACTATTGATATATATTTTCCTCATGTATCCTTTGATGGACACTTAGGTTGTTAGGGGATTTTTTTTGTACCGGGAATCAAACTCAGGGCCTTGCGCTTACCAGACAGGCACTGTGCCGCTGAGTTACATCTCCGGCCCTGGTAAAGGTTCTAATATCCATGGTCCTTCATCATAATCGAGGTAGTTATTACTTTCATTTTATTTTTTAATTTTTATCTTTTGTTTTGCTTTTAGTTTTCTGAGATGGGGTCTTGCTGTGTAGGCCCAGCTGGCCTCAAACTTGTGACAATCCTCCTGCCTCAGTCTCCCACATGCTAGGGTTATAGGCATGCACCACCATGCATGGTTTATTATTCCATTTCAGAGAATGAATGATCAAAGCACTTGAAGTGATTTTCCTTGGTATTGTCGTACAATACCAAAGTTCCTGTCTTGGCCACACTTTATTTTTTTAGCCTCTTTTTATGTTTTGTTTCACAACACTTTAAAGAAAGGATTCCTTTCTCGCAGAGATCTTACCATGGATGGCTGTGTTCCAATGAAAACTTACAAAATCAGCTGGCCAAGTTTGGCTTGAGGATTATAAGTTTACAAATTCTTATGTTAGACCATTACTATGACTACTATTAGTGATAGTGACTTCCAGGCACACAGAGAATGTCCTTATTCTAAAGAAATGCACGCTGCCCTGGGCATAGTGGCCTACCCCTATAAATCTCAGCACTCTGGGAAAACCAGGGATAGGAGGATTATAAATTCAAACTCAGCTTGGGCACCTCAGACTCTGTCTCAATAGAAAAAGAATTTTAAGGCTGGGGATGTATGTTAGTACAAAGGCCCTAAGTTTAATTCACAGTACTGCACACCAAACCAAACCAAACCACATGCACATGGACGTTAGGACAGGCAGGAAAACAAATGCAGAAAAGTGTTCAAAATTGCTGAATTTAGATGCTATTGCTACTATTCAGAGGGATTTTGAAAGAATACCAATGGATAAAGGTGCCAGACAGAGCTAATTCAGGCTTTTTTGGCCTTCACCAATGCTGGCTCCCCACTAGGAGAGCTCTCAGGCACCTGCATGCGTGCACTTTCTGGCTTCCACTGGCTGTGAGGATGGAAAATGAGGTGTCGCTCTCCCTGGAAGAGCCAGACAACACTACCAATCCTCTGCCGCTGGCTCGGGACACTGCCCTTACTGTCTGGCGACATCATCGCAGTCCTGATCCCTAACTTGCTCACATCGTGTCCAGATTTAGAAGCAGCCCAATAATGATTTGGGACGCAGTTTCTCTAACTCAGCCTTTATATACTTACCAGTTCCCCTGGACATTGACCAGGCTTGGAAACGTGGGAATGAAGCGGGGAGAATGAACCCAAGTGAACACTCTGGAATGTTGGGGGGCCGTCAGCTAATAAACACACATGGGCTATCGCCACCCATCCTGCCTCCACAGTAAGAAAGAGCGAGAAATACTGCAGCCTTCTCTTCAGACTGGGTCTGCTCCAGACGGACAGGCTTGGTTTTTGGCTTTTACAGGGTGCAAATAATAGAAGGGATTAAAAATAAACTAAAATCATTTTCCTATCTCACTTTTAGTTTACCACTGTTTTATCCAAGGGAGCAGATGCTTTTTGTATTCTTGGATACAAAGAACCCTGAGTACTTTCTTTGTGATTTTCCTGTGGATCAGGAGTGACACTTTGGTATCTATTAACATTGGTGGGGTTTTTTTTCCCAGTACTTGGGAATGGAAACTAGCATCCCTCCAGCACTGAGCTATGTCTTCCTTTGTAAAAAATTTTGTAAAAAATTTTTTGAGGCAAGGTCTCCAAAAATTGTCCAGTCAGGACTCAAATTTACGGTCCTCCTGCCTTAATTTCCCTAATGCTGGATTATAGGCACACATCACCACACCTCATGACACTAAACTTCTTAATCTTCCCACCTGGTCTTTTGGTTATTTTATGATAATTTAGAGAATCAGTTTTTTTTTTTTTTTTTTGGCAGTACCGGGGATCGAACTCATGACTTCACACTTGCCAGGCAGGCACTTATGCTGCTGAGCTAAATCCCCAGCCCTAGAGAGTCAGTTTTTAAAATTTTAGTGTAACTAGGATTCTTGTGTTTTAAAGAATCTATAAAGTATGATTTTTATATATTATTTCCAATAATTTAAAAGTCCACCTTGTACTTTTATCCTCAGTAAAGATGACTGAAACATCGGTGTTCTTTGCCTTTAAACTAAAATAATATCAACACCATGCTGTAATACTGCTGCTCAAGAAATATCAGCAGGTACTCAATGGAGAAATAAATGACTTCATGATAAAATCGAAGCATGGATATGTGTATAGAAAATGATAAAAGCAGTTCTTGAAGGAAAAGAGGTTTATGACTTTTTTTTTTTCTTTTTTTGGTACCAGGGATTGAATTCACAACCTTTCACTTGCCAGGCAGGAATTTATGCCACTGGGCTAAACTCCTGGCTCTTGATTTACTGTTTTTGATATATAAAGCATCAAGGTACTATTGGCTTTTTAAAATTACGATATTTGGGGTTGTAACACAGTGATAGAGTAGTTGCTTAGGACACATGAGATCCTAGGTTCCCTGATATTGCAAAGATAAATGAATTAATTAAATTATAGTATCTGTTATGACCAGAGATTAAGCTACTCATCCAACAAGACTAAAGGACAAGACAGGACAGGTAACTGTTGAGGAGGGATCAGGAAGAGGAGAGGCAAGCTCAGAGTGGTAGCCTGGAGACTTGTGTTGTAAGCAACAGAAACAAGCTCACTGCACAGAAAGGCATTTGCTTTGCAGTTCAGCAAAGAAGAAGCCAGGACAGCAAGACCCATCTGCACACACTGGTCACCGAGAAGCCACTTACCAGACACTGGTGGGGAGACTCCTGCAGATCCCAGGACAGTGGCTCAGGCTCATCTTGGCTGCCACCACAATGGAGTGTTTGATGTACAACTCTACAGGTTTGGCTGCTTCTGATAGATGAGGCAGAGCAGATGGAAAGATCAGTAAACCATGTAGAAATGAACCTTAATTACCTTCCTCACCTCATAATAAAGTGAGTTATTTAATACCACGTAATACCATAGGTGTGACGGGTGTATTTTCTTTGAGATGGGGCCTCGCTCTGTTGCTCAGGCTGGTCTCAAACTGCTGGACTCAAGCAATACTCCTGCCTCAGCCTCCTGAATAGCTCGGACTACAGGCACAGTGCCACCACACTGGGCTAGGATGAGTGACAGCTTGGTGATGTGTGCAGTAACGATGGTGCTGACAGAGAATAAGTAGGAAAAACAAATCATGATTGAACATCAGACAAACCCAAATTGAGCCCTTCTTACAAAATAAATGGCAGGATAACTAAACAAAGTATGTCCTCTTAGAGGGAACTGCTGACAGAAGCTGAACACAGAATGGAAATGAAATGGTTTGTTATCTCCTGCTGTAACACCTGTAAACCTCAGCGCTCTGGTAGGCTGAAGCAGGAGGATTGCAAGTTCAAGCCTACCCTGAGCAATTTAGTGATTTAGCAAGATCTTGTGTCCAAATAAAGATAGATAGATAGGCAGACAGGCAGACAGACAGACAGAGTCTGGGAATGTAGGGAATGTAGCTAAGTGGAAAGGCCTTGAGTTTCATCCCCAGTGGGGGTGGGGGGTGGTGGTGGATTGGTATCAGTGTAAAACTTCCTCTTGGAGTCTGTACGGGTAAGTGCCAGGCTGTCACCGCATACCTCGTCTACCAATCAATAGCCAGCGGCCGCAGCCGCCCCTCCCCTGCCCGGGTATTTAAATGGTTATGACCCAAAGGAGCCCTCTCAGCGCTCGCCCTCCGGGAGCCATCTCCCGTCCCGATTGGGGAGCCGCTGCGCCTTCCCCGCCCTCCACCTTCTCCCACCTGGACTCTCGGGTCCACCTGTGCCCGCCCTCCCTGCCTCCCCCTACCTACCCCACGCCCGCCTGCGCCTGCGCCCTGAGCCCGGTGGAGTCTGGCCGCCGAGGCAGGGAAGCTTCTGCGGCCTGGGCGCGGTACGCGAGGATCCAGGCTCCGACGGCGCCCGCTCGGGGTGGGACAGGCGGCTGCGTGCCCACGATGGGCTGCTCCAGCAGCGCCCTCTGCAAGGCTGGCGACAGCAGCAGGTTCCGCAGCGGTGAGCAGCGACCCGGTTCCCCCAGCTGGGTCGGGGATTCGCGGGTGCTGGGTCCTCCTGGGTCCAGAGGCTGCGCCTCCGCCCAGCGCGCCCAGCAGGGGGCGGGCGACGCCCCGCGGGGCCCGGAGACCTCGCGATCGGGGTCCGGGCTGCGGCGAACTGATCGGTGATCCGCGGCTGCCCTCCGGAGCGAGCAGAGAAGCGTCCGGTCCGGAGCCGTCAGCGCCGGGTGGCGAAAGACGGAGTGCGCGGAGAGGGCGCCCCAGCCTGGGCTCCTGCTGCACCTTCCGGGGCTCAGAGCCACTTTCCCCACAGTGGCTTAAGCTTTTCTTGAGACATGTGTGTGTATGTGATGAAAGGTGGACTGTCCGAGTGAAAAATCAGCTCGAGCTGAGCCCGGGCAACTCACTGTCTTAGTGAGACGCTGCCTGGGGTGTGAGGAGAAAGCGGCGACAGAGTTGGGGTGCATCTTAGTGCCAAGGCCCAGCGCTCGACCCGCAGAACTAGAGAGGGGGACAACTAGGTTTTGAGCCTCTACTGTTCAAGTGAATCTCGTAAGTGAGGCTGAGAGTGAAAGGCACACAAGGGAACGATACATTCAACAAGTGATTCAGATCGTTGCACGGTGATAAATACTGCGAGAATACAAGCAGCTCCATTCCCAGAGCCTGACTGGATTTTGAATGGGGCACCGTTCTAGACAAAGCTCGGAAAGCTCCACAGATCTACTTAGTTAGTGTCCGGCCTTCTCGAAGGCTCAGTGGGGAGGCCAAGGGATTTTATACTCTCTGAACCCCTTTCCTCAGGTGTCCTGTCTGTGTCACTGCAGAAACAGAAATCCCTTCCTCTCTGAGCTTGTGGTAGACAGCTCAGCCTTGCTGCCGGGTCCTGATCAGAAAGAAACGTGCTGTTGTTATTTCATGGTGTGTGCAATTTATTTTTCTAAGTTCAGTAGGTCACAGAGAGCAATTAGAAGTTAGGAAGTAAGCAAAAAAAGAAAAAAATTATAACCATGTTGGAAGCCAAGCTCCTTGTTGCTGACAATAGTGGGAAGGCTTTAACAAAATTCATTCCCAAAGCACAGTCATTGCTGACTTTTCTCCTAAACAGCCTGGAGCTCCTGCAGGAGACCAGCAATGAGCAGTTGCTTTTTTCGTATTTTATCTTGTGAAATCGGATCGATTTTTTGCATCTTGTTCCATGATAAATCCTTATTGGTATCAGCATGGAAAACTGAAAAACAAAAACAAAAAAAATAACCCGATGCTTCAGAAGCTCATCACCTTGTCCTGGCCTCTGATCCCCTTCCACACTGGGCTGCAGTATCTTAGTTTAAAAAACAAAGCACGGGGCTGGAGTCGTAGCTGGGTGATCTGTCCAGTGCATGCTGGATTCAACCCCATCCTACCCTCCAAAAAGGTCAAATCATTGCAGACTTTTAAAACTGATAAAAATATGTATTTCAGAGAATGCGACTCTTGAGAAGAGGCAAAACTTCCCGGTGGAAGAGATCTTAATCCTCTCATTTTATTACCAATATTAATATCCATTTACACATTCTACTTTTGTTTTTATTCTTGCTTTCACTACTGCTCTGTTTCCATGGATCTTGTTCTGAAAGAAATGTTAAAGCTTGACGACCAGTTTGAGTGTACAGAAATTAATTACCACCCAGCATGAACTCACCCCGCAGGCTGACTCCATCAACAGGTGTATGCTTGTGCTCTCTGTGGAACAATGCTCTCCTGAAACTGGATACTGTTGTGTGGTCAGCAGTTTCAACTCCGCGGGTCCCAGGAGACCTGATGAATAATTCACTTCGTTTCTGCAGCTTCAAACTATTTAAAATCCTAGGTGTAACTCCTAGTCTGTGCAGATGTGCTTTTGGGTAAAAACAGCTCAAGTGCATTGAGTGTGTTGTTTGTGCGTTCACTCACCGTACCCCGGTGTCGTGCAAAGTTCAGCGCCTCAGAGCCCCTCAGGAATTATTTGCTGAAGGAATGAATTTATTTTATCCTTATAACAGCGCTATGGCTAAGTGTTAGGGTTACCCCTACTTTACAGACAAGGAGGAAATAATTTACCACAAGTCACGGGAATCCTAAGAGTCAGAGCTGGGTCTTGAACCCAGACCAGGTTTAACAAGATTTAAATCTGCTTTTGCTTAAAATCACTCTGGATCCCCATGAGATATGTGAACACTCACTTGGCAAACACCGTAAAGAATGTTTGTTCTTTTCTCTCAATTAGATGTGTGCTATTTAGGAGTTATACAAATATTGTATAATACGTAAACATATTAACATCATATTAATAAGATTAACGTGGGATATAGCAAGGATACAGCTCAGCATCACAGTGCCTGCCTTGCAAGATGAGGTCCTGAGTTTGATTTTCGATCCAAAGAAAAAAAAGATTATATTATATTAGTAAGATATATGTTATACAAATATAATTTATATAGCATACTAATCTATTAATATACACTTAACACATTGTATAAAGTATTAATATAATTGTAATACTATCTACTAACATGATATTAATGTACTTTTATTTATTTATTGCATTTCTTTTGTTGTTTCTGTAGTCAGTCCCCACATATCAATCAAGAATGATTTGAGACATATAATATAAATGTCATATAACAAGTACTACATTTATTATGATTCCTAAATTGAGAGTAAAATATGACATTTATATTTGCCTCCAATTTAAAGTAGGAATATTTGTAGGACATTCAATTTTAGAGATATTTCTAGCAAAATATTTATATAGTTGTAAAGAAGCTTCTAGTGCCTTCCTGTAAAAACAAATAATCTTCATAAAAGATTTTTAAGTTTATAGTAGCTAGGGCTGGGGATAGAAGTCGTGGCATGAGTGCCTGACTGGCAAGTGCAAGGTCCTGAGTTCAATTTCCAGTACCAAAAACAAACAAACAAAATAAATTTACATTAGCAACCTTAAAACTCCATGAGTTGAAAATAAAATATGTGAGCCATGCTAGAGACTGGGTTCCATCAGTAGATCTCTCTTACTGAATTTTTTATTAGAAATTTTTGAGCTTAAGAATTATTGGGGGAGGGGCTGGGGATTTAGCTCAGTGGGCTAAGCGCCTGCCTTGTAAACAGGCAGTCGTGAGTTCGATCCTCGGTACCAAAAAAAAGGAAAAAGAAAAAAAAAAAAAATTGGAGGCTGGGGATTTAGCTCTGCGGTCTAAGTGCCTAAGTGCCTGCTTGGCAAGTGTGCTGTTGTGAGTTTAATCCCTGGTACCAAAAAAAAAAAAAAAAAAATTACTATACATACTCAGATGTGATAAAGTAAGCCTGGACTCCCAGCGTTTAGAAGGCTGAGGCAGGAGGATCTCAAGTTCAGTGCCAGCCTGGGCCACCTAATGAGTTTAAGGCTGGTTTCAATCATATATAGTAGACCTTGTCTTAACAAAACAAAACAAAAAATAAAAACAAGCAAAAAATGGTTGCACATGATATAATATTGGCCCACACGCAAAAAGAATCATAAACCAATGGGTTACATACTCACTCAGGCCTCTTCCAGCTCTAAAACCCTGCAGCACTAAAATAAGAAGGTACTTTTGTAGGCTCAAATTTAAATCAGTGAGGAGCTGCTAACTGAGTAGCCGTTAGGCTGCGTGAGAACAATCCGTTCTACTGGTAGCGTATGGACATTCGCTCTGACCCACTGGACACCGAATCTACCTGCTCCCAGTTTCTGTCCATTGCCCAGAAGCTGGATGACCAAGAGGTCTGTGGCTGCAGTGAAGCAAGGTGCAGACTGGCCTCCAGGTGTAAATAATTACCCAGGCTAAGCTGCCTGATAAGGGCTAGTCACACTTTGAATTTGACTAACTGCCCTAAAATACCCGAGGAAAGAGACCTTCCATTCCCTGCGGATGATTAGATTGAATCTCTTGTGTTTGCTGAAGCAAATTCTAAATATGATGGCCCTGGCCAGTCGGATAGAATTTGAAACTAAAGAATGTGTTGCCATCACACACCTGGCCACCGGGAAGGTTTCTAGACCTCCCCATTGAGCCTGGTCCCCAAGCTCCCCGCTCCCTGTAACATACATAATTACTGTTCCATCCTTCCTAACACAAATGGCATCCGCTTGTGGCAGAATTCTTGAGAGTCTACAGTTTAAGCTCGAATGTAGACGAAGTGAATAGATGTTAATAATCCGCACGTTCATTGCGGGTTAATGTGTACAGGTCCATTGACAGTTATAACCATTTGTTTGTTCTCACCTACACTTCTGCTAGATCCCAGGCATGGGAAGAGGCTTGAATTTCACAGTGTTGTGTGAATTGTTCTTTGTACCAAGGGCTTAACTTCAGGCTTCAACCAATATTTTCATCTATGGCATTTCAGTATTAACTAGACCAATAATTCTCTTTGGAATTGAAGAACAAACATTCACATTAAAATGCCTTTGAATAGGCCTGTTTTGCATACAGAAATTATATAATGGGACTATTATTCAAATGCTACAAGTTCCTAGTCCAGTCTTGAGTTCTCAGCATGTCTTTGCAGTGGTCCTGATTATTGCATCAGCTAATTAAAGTGGAATATAAGAACTGCAGACATGGCTCATACCGCGAAAATATTTGGAAATAGTAGGCATTTCTCATTTACAACCTGCTTCACTTCAATCTCTGGACAAACGTTTATCAGTTTAGAGCTTTTCATATATCCTTCCGAAGTTTTTACATGCATTGCACATATTATTTCCCTTTTGATTTTTAACCTGCAATGTGTTCTATACAGTGTTCATCATCTTGATTTTTGCCTGACAGTTTAGAGATTTTAATGTATTGCTATGTAGAGGACTTCTTTTTCCTTTTTTTGTACCTGCAGAATAATCTATTATGTGATCAGTCTCTTGAGGGGTTTGATTTGTTCCCAGCCTTTCCCTGTTGTAAACAAGTTTTCAGTGAATTCCTTTGTGCATACATCATTTTGAATGTGTACAAGTATATATTAGGGCAATTTCCCAGAGGCGGCTTTGCTAGGTCAAAGGATGGACGCATTTAGAATTTGGATAGAAGACTGCCTTAAGTGCCTTCTGTAAGAGGTATGCCATACACTCTCATCAACAAACAAACAAATTTTTTTTCTAGGAATTGGAAACTTTCAGATGTTTGTGCAGCTGCATCAAAACATCAGCACAGAGCTACAGCTGGGGGTTCGGCAGGGAGCATTTTAACTTGTTTGGGATATTTCAGCTGATGGTCTCTGCCCAGAGTAGTCTATTAAGCAAACTTGCGCATTGCAGATAGCTAGAAAACTGAGGCTTAGTGAGAAGTGAACCTGCCCAGCTTCCCAGTGCTGGTAAGTGATGAGATGGGGCTAAAGACTCAAAGCCCCGCTTTTCTCAGGACTCACAGTTCCATCTGTGGTCTGGCCCTGATTCTGCCAGGTTTTCCTCTTAGGAAAAATGCAGTCAATAATTAGTTAGTGGGTGGGTGGAAGAATGAATGGATTGACAGAGACAGGGATCCTGGGAGAGAAACACAGAGGACCCAGGAACAACAGAAAGCAGAAGCTAGAAGGTGGCATCATCAGGGCTGGGCTTGGGGTGAGAGTAAAGGAATGTGAGCAGGGTCTCCCAGGCATGCAGGAGCAAGCGGTAACCACAGCACAACAAAGCTTTATTGTGTAGCACTAAGCTCTGCTTCTGCAAGGCTGCCACACCTCTCAAATGATGTGGAATTCCCTTTCACTGCTCTGTTAATGTTTTACATCCTCAAGTTTGAAAAGATGCCCGAGCAATTATTGAAAGGCTACTCAGAGCCTCACTCATGCTGAGAAAAAATTCTCTTTAAAGCAAAGTATCTGGATATAGCAGATACAGCTTTCCAAGAGGGTATGAACATCTGGAGGACTCCGATGACCTCAGGAGCTTGGGGCTGCCTCCATCCTTGAGCCTTCCTTGGGAATTGCATTCAGGGTCCTGAGGAACTTCTTTGTACAGATCAAAGTGTTGGAGCTTTGCCCTGAAAGAAGGAAGACTGTATAGAACCTCTACATTGTTTTACAGTGCCGAACCCCTTGGGCAGCCAGGGGTGTGAGAGTGGGGAGAGTAAGTCAGGCCGTGCAGGTGCACATCACCCGTGCCACCCGGGCCGCATGGGTACCGGCCGGCACTCACGGCTCCAGGGAGCCAGGCTTTCTCCGGCCCTCGGGGTCTCCGGGCCAGCAAGGACTTGGCAGCCCGAGATCTGCCGGAGTGGTTTCCTGTGCTTGGTCCACTGTGCCCACAAGTACTGTAGTTGTGTGTGCCAGGATGTGAACCAGTGCAGAAGCACGTGAGTGTGCATCACGATAGTGCTCTCATTTTCACTAATGTTTTCACTTCCCAAGAGACAGTGTCTCCTTACAGCCACTGCAGTGGGGATGTTTGTTGCAAAATTCTCTCCAAACAAAACATTTTGCTTATTTCTTTCCCTCACCATCACTGATAATGATAGTCGATGTTTTCTCTTTCCCTAAGGCTCTGATAAAACCATGTAGTTTCTTTTGGTTAATTTCCTTTCCTCTTGCTTGGTCTGGTATAGTGTTGATAGACTAGATGGATACAAGTGACTCTGGTTACCCATGTGCCTCCTCTGTGTGTGTGCGTGTGTGAATTTCAGCACACTGCAGTACAGTGTATAGTACTCATTAAGAATATGAATCCAAATAAATTAATAAAAAAAGAGTGTGAGTCGGGAGTCAGGCTGTCCAGGTCCAGTTCAGGATCATTTATTATTTGTGTGACTTACAGCCAATCATTCCACCTCTCTGGGGCTCAGTGACCTCACTTGTCCAATAGGACTGCCAAGGTGTACTGCTCGGCGTTGTTCTGAGAAACAAATAAGCTGGTTCATTTTATGCACCCAGAACAGAGTATGAGGGGTTGGCAAATTAGCCTGCTGACTACCTCCAGCCTGCCACCTATTTTTATTAATAAAAGTTTCATTGGAACAGAGACTTGCCCATTATTCACACATTCTTATGGCTGCTTTTTCTCTAGGATGAGGTGAAAAAATGTAAGAAAGTCTCCCATCTCAGGGTGGACTAAATCAGCCTCTTGGTTCTTTCCTAGTTCGACATCTGTACATTGTCTCTCACGCCAACTCTGGCATGCTATCAGGAGAGTAGAGACCACAGCAGACTTTTGCAGGTGGGCAGCTCCCCAACCATGCCCTCAACTCCCCCCATTCCCATGCCACCATTCACTCTGGTCTTGCCCAACTGGTGCCGTATGCCTTCTCCTGGTGACCCCACAGGCAACCTAATTAGCTCATTTGTCTGGGGATCTTCTTAACCAGCTTCTGGTTCTCTGGCTCTGGGAGGGAGCCTGCGATTCTGAATGAAGAAAAATCTCAGGTAATATTGATGAGGCAAATTTGGGGATTACAATTGGCCTGTAAAAACACCTAAATTTTCATGGATGAAAATCAAGCCTCCTTGAACTGAAATCTGAGCTCTGCCACCTTCTAGCTATTTGTCCCTCCTAGATAAGGGTGCCGTTATGTCCTGTATACAGTGAAGGTAATAACAGATGCACCTGTGGAGTCGTTGGGACGATTGAATGAGATAATGCACATAAAGCTCTAGGGTGGGCTTTGAGAAGCGTAGCCACTGTCCATCTTGAGATGTGGGGTGGGCAAAGCCCATTCCAACTGGTAAAATGGCCCCTATGTACACGCCGGAGATACGTTCTTCTCTCTTCCTTTCCTGGTCTAATGAGATCCCTTCGGCTTTAAACACTACATTCCTACCCAAATGGTAATCTTTTGTGCTAATTATGCCTATCAATCATTGAAACAAGATTTTTTTCCCAGTGGCAAATGCTGTTGGTCATTTCAAAAGTGATGTTTTGTGTTATGACATATTCAAAGCAACATTTACCTGATGGGAGTCTAAATGAAATTAAAGGCAGTAATATTGGAGAAAGGCATCTGAAGGAGGCAGCTCGGTGTCACCGCCCAATGGCAGGCTCTGTGGCTCTTACCCGCCTGCCTCTACTGTGTGCAGGTGGCCCCGTCTCCATCTGAGCTCGTCATGTGTTCTGAAACTACCTCGCCGATTCAGGGGGTTCTAGTGAAAACCAAGAGTGTGCCTGATGTTTATTTATGATTTTTGGCTGATGATTTTGTACTCCAATTACATGGGGCATTGCTTAAATTCTCCTCTCCCCCAAAAGAGTGGTGCCTCAGTGTCTTCTGGCTGATAGAAATGGGCATGAGTGGTTGCGTGATGCCACATAGGATGGCGCTTTTGCACACCTTGATGTAGGAAAGGAGCAAAACCAGTCCAGATAGCCGCCCTTGCAGCTTCCTGGTTGGTGGAAAATGGTAGAATGGGGCTGAAAAGAAACGAATGTAAATGAGGAGGAAGATGAATAGACTCCCTTCTGGGTTCAGACTTGCACTGCATTCTTGGTTTCTAAATCACAGAAGCTGTAAGACTAGCAATAGAAGCAGGGAGTATCCAGGGGCTGCCTTCCTCTTTTGTTTTTTTTTTTGGTACCAGGAATTGAACTCAGGACCTGGTGATTACCAGGCAGGTGCTGTGCCGCTGAGCTAAAGCACCTGTGCCCAGCACTTGCCAGCATCATTGATTCTCTGTGACACCCAGCAGGCCTTTGCAGGGAGACCATTGGGTCTGACACAGTGGTAGGAAACGAGTTTTTCTCCTTGGTGGGTGGAAACTTTCATTTCTGATTAGGCAGTGAACTGAGCTGAAGAGTGTGTCCCCTAATGTGACTTTCAGGTATGTTAGCGCTCATCCTAATCCCTTCTGTAAGGCTGCCCAGCATTTTGTTTCTTTGTGCGTCCGTCACAGCGGGGGTTATCACAAAGGTTCTGTTGGTTCAGCTGCCACAACAAATTTGTGCATGGATCAGTTTACAGCAAAATCAGGAGAGAGAGTGAACACCAAAGCGTTAGGCCCGGAGCAGTGTATGATTCGATGAAATGTAGGGTTCAGGAAACAGATTCATCTTTGAACAATTTCAGATGTGGAAGCAATGCATCTGTCCTTAGTACTTATTACATAATGAAATAGATTGGGCATAGCCTGTGTCCTGTTTGTGGGTTAGAAAAAGAAAGAGAAGATGTCACTGCATCTAAGGCAACAGTGTCACAAGCGATGGCTCAGCTTACTCCTTGCCTTGAGAAAGCCTGTTGGGATTCATAAAAATCTACAGATGCAGCTGAGCACCGTGGTGTGCACCTGCACTCCTAGCACGTGAGAGGCTGAGGCAGGAGAATTGCTGCCAGTTCAAGGCCTGGACCTGAGCTCCGCTTGGAGATCTAGACTGCATAATGAGGTCCTGTCTCAAAAAGACCAAAAACCAAAACAAAAAAAAAACAAAAACGTATAAGAGCCTGTATACAGGTGCTGTGTGTAAGAAAGAAGCGTTTCTCTCTACAAAAGTTACCAGGGGTCTTCACGAGCACCATTGTCAAGTCAGATAAAATCACTGCTAGGGTGAGGAACACCGTTCCATGATCGCTCAGTCGCCATGTTTTAAAACTTCCCAGGACGGTAATAAAACTGCAGATCAACAGTGATAACTTCATAGTGTTCGGCAGACCGTGTATGCAACCCCTGGAATGCTGCAATTCGTTCTTTTCGTTGCTACTTCAGCTACAGTTTTGTAATGAACCATTGCTAGGTCCCTAGAGACATTTGTAACGTTAGAAAAAGAAGCACTCTCCACCGCCCTCCCCCAGCAACCCAGGCAGCCTGGGAGACGCAGCAGGCTGCAGTTCAGTTCTCCCTCAGCCTTCACAGCTGCACCCTTGTGCAGTGAGAAACTTGAACAGCTGCACACACCGTCCCTCTTTTCCTCACCACCTCCTCCTGTCCAACACATGTCACACAAACTGTATCCACTGTCACATCCGTTATAGCCATGAAGCCTCCTGCAAGACAAATGCTGCTCCATTTTACAGATGAGTAAACTGAGGCCCAGAGAGGTTAGGGACTCACCTGGACTGCAGAGTGAAATAAACGGTAGGATCAGAATTCACACTCAGCCAAGGAAGAGGCAGCTGCTGCTTCAGCTGAAGGGAAAGGAGGGAGATCAAACCAAATAAAAGAGGGAGAGACTGCGCCTCTCAGCCGCTTTGGGGTGGAGACGGTCTGGAGGACGTGGAATCTGCAGCTGGAAGGAAGAAGTTTTAGGCAGCTGTGGGCTTTGTCCTTGTCCTCTCTGAGTGTTGGCTTCAAGCAAACATTTTCCCATCCTTTCCGCTCTTTTCCTGTCATCTTTCTTCTACGTGAGCAGCTCACAGGAAGGAACCGGTACCAGCGTAAATGACGTCATCCTGCTTTGCTGTGTGTCTGCGGCAGCGTCGCCCTTGACAGGGCCTTTAAGGGAGGGGCTAGGGCTGGCTGGCGTCAGTCTTAGCGTGGAATAGCAAAGTTCAGACTGGCTTGGGGGCGACGCGTGTGCTTTCCAAAGATCAATCCACTAATCCTCACAACGGCTCCCTGGCTCCGTGCCAGTACCCTTCCCACTTTACAGGGCAGCAAGCTGAGGCACGGAGCTAGTGAGGGGAAGCAGACGCCAAGCGTACTGTGAACGTCAGAGATGTGATTTTCAAGGCCCCAGGCTCTCTGTCCTCCCTGTTAGAGCAGACTGCCCTCTTCTGTCACTTAGGAAAAAGAACTTCTGAGCTACTCATTGGCAACCGTTCCCTCCGAAATACAGTCATTTCAAAAGTGTAGTTAAGTGCTCGCTTCGGCAGCACATATACTAAAATTGGAACGATACAGAGAAGATTAGCATGGCCTCTGTGCAAGGATGACACGCAAATTCGTGAAGCGTTCCATATTTTTATTATCTTTTTTGAAGTCCTGTAAGGTCTCCAGTGTAGGTTTTATTGGTCTTGTTCTGTACTGTTTTAATCAATTCTGTTATATCTGACTATATAGGCAACTTTAAAAAAAAATAGCAAGAGGCACAATGGTAACCATTTTAGATCACCTGATATTCTATTTTTACACCATGTACTACGCCCATCCTTTTGTTCTAACCGACTTTGTTTTGTTTAGCCACGTTAGGTTTTATTCTCTCCAAAAAATAATAAGAATTGTGGGAGTAAAAAACCCCAAAAAGTGTAATTGTTATTAAAAAGAGATGAAAGGAAGATGGTCTAAGGGATATAACTGCATGTATGTTTGAGTGTGTAGGATGGAAATTCATATTACTGAACTTTTGTTGGATTGTTGATTGGCATTGTGTGCAATCTCATTGTATGAATGTTCACTTTACATGCTTTCATTTTATAATTTGGACACCTATTTCAAAGATGACAATATGGAACCTGTTAACTAGTGATAGATATCTTACTGTATTTTTTTCCCTTGAAATTCTGTATTATTTGTACCCTTTTACTGCTTTGATTTTTTAATTTTATTTCCTTTCTTTTTTTTCCTCTTTAAATAATAATAATAAAAAAACAAAAGTGTAGTTAAGGTATAGTTAATCAGAATAAATGACAAACTCAACATCTCACTACACTTCTGGTTATTTCGCTATGTCTGTTTGTCTGTTTGCTTGGGGACAGGCCGTTCCTAGGTAGTATATGCTGGCCTTGAACTCTTACGTAGCCCAGGCTAGTTTTGACCTAACAGCGATGCTCCTGCCTCAGCCTCCTGAGTGTTGGGATTACAGGCATGTGCCACCACCACACCCAGAATGGTCTTCTTTTTTGGCTAGCCTTTAAAAGAGATTTTATTCCCTTGGGGTACTCTTGAAATCGACAGTGAGATATCCTTCTCACTGGGCTGTTTTCTGGTTGTGTTTTATATATCCTATATGGAGAAACTTGGGCTGTCTTCCAGTGTACCAGGACGCTCAGGCAAAGTACAAAAGAATGAATGCTGGTGCTGTGACCCTGGGCATAACTATTCTGACTGTGACAAAAACAGGCAGGTGACTATTCATGGAGAAATAAATTTTCACATGTTGCTTTTCCGTGGAAAAATTTGACTTAGCCCAATAGCATAACATTTATTCTTCAGGGTGTAAACCACGTCCCGAGCTAGTAAGCACCCCAGCAGGCACAGGAGGAGGACAACGGTGCCTGTCGCCTTGCTGGCCGCACTCATCACCGTGATAACTGCCTCAGCAGGAAGTGCAGCTGGGCGGACCGTGAGGAGACCGTTGGCTGGTTCCTGGTTAACTCCCGATCTAGGGAACAGCCTTTGCACAGCACGAGTGAGCTGTCTTGTCAGAATGCATTTCCAATGGGCTTGAGAAAGCGCTTTTATTAGTCTGCCCCACCTGCTGCAGAGTTGAAGGCTTCATCATGAGGCAGGAGGTGGAGGAGATGAAGGACGTCCCTCTCCCCAGTCCTGCCATGTGCACCCCTAAGCTGCCAACCCGTGCCCTGCAGTCTCACCGTGTGGTTCCTGAGGCTTCCTCACCCCTGCCCTCTCCTTAGGGTTCATAGTGAGTCTCCGCACCAGGGTAGCCATACAGATGTCCTCATTTTGAATTCATGCAAAAACTAGCTGTCTCCGGACCCAAGCAGAAGTGTTCATGAGATAACTGTCGGAGCTCTCCCCTGTTGCATATATTTCTGGCCAAGCTCTGGGTGTCCATCTGCCACCCAGGTTTTGCGTCTGGGATCACAGTCCCGAACCAAACCACTCGCGGCTCCTCCAGGTCAGATCTGTTCTTCCCTTATTTTCTAGGTCTAGCACTCAAGCTAGGAAAGTGGCCCCCTCTTCTCGGTCTTCCCTGTCCCCTGCCACCTTCCTCCTCCTGTCTGTGTCCTCTCTTCTCTCTGGAGTCACTGGTCACACCGACCTCTGTGTCATCCTCCGCGCGTTCATTCCTGGGAGTTGGTGCGTGCACGGCTTACACTCTGGGACAGAGTGTGCTAAGCACATGCTCAACACATCAGTGATCAGTTCACTCCCCTGCTCACAACTTTTTTCATTTTCTTTTACTTTGTTTTGTATTAAAAATTAGTAGTTCGTAATAATAGATAAGTTGGCATTTTTCTAGTTGATAAAAATGAGGCCCCATGGTATATAACCTGTTCATCTTTCAGTCAGTACACTGACTTTGAAAATCACCCATGTGGGTGCACTTAACAATTGTTCTCTTCTTTTCGTTATGATATAGTATTCCACTGCGTGGACTATCTCAGTTTGTTTACTTGTTCCTAGGTTAGTAAAAATTGGGTCGTTTCCAGTTTTGTGTTGTTATCAAAGAGTTGCTACTTTTAAAAATGCAATTATTTTATTTTTGAGACAGGGTTTCCCTACGCACTTCAGACTGACCTTGAACTCACTTTATAGCCCAGGCTGGCCTCAAACTCACAGCAACCCTCCTGCCTCAGCCTCCCAAGCACAGGTGCTACTTTGTACGGATCCATATTATCTTTTCTCCTGGAAAAATATCGAGGAGTAACATGGCTGAGACACGCGGTGCGGGTGTGTGTGTGCGCGCACATTTCTTTCATTTGGTTTTAGAGATGAATTTACGACCTTACGCGTTTGATAAGCACTTGCATCTCAGCCCTGCCCAGGTATATTTATTTAAAAATATTTTGAGACTGAGTCTCTTTAAATAGTCCAGGCTGGCCTGGGACTTGTGGCGATCCTTCTGCCTCAGTCTCGGGGTGCCAGGATCACAGGCACAAGCTACCCCGCCTGGCGTTTATTTAATTTTGTAACAAAGCTTCACAGCTCTCACCTCCGCTCACGCTGTCCGGTTAAACGCTAAGCTCGTTAGCGCCACCTACAGGGCCCGCCGCGCTCTCGCTGCTGCTCCTGAGACAGCCTGGAGCTCGCAGACGCTGGTGCCCAACATTCAGCTCCCGCAGATCTGCCCCTGGGTGTGCGCGCCTGCGCGGGTGCCTGTCTCCTGGAGCCGTTTTTATGTTTCACGTTTCTAACAGTCACCTACCTAACTATGATGGCAGCCAGTAGAGCCTGTGGTTTCTTTCCATCTTTGGATCTAGGAAGGAAAAAAGAAAAACCTCAAAACAGCTGAAGGATTTTAAAAACTTGCCCCGTACAAGGGAAAGTGGTCCGGGCATGGTGGACACAGCTGTCATCCCAGTGCTTGGGAAGCTGAGGCAGGAGGACTGCTATGAGGTTGAGATCAGCCTGAGCTACATAGTGGGACATTGTCTAACAAACCCCAAACTTCCAAAAAACAAAAACAAACAGGAGGAGGAGGAGGAGGAGGAAGAGGAGGAAATGATGTTACTTAATTCCACTTGGTGAACAGAAAACTCTTTAATTATGTGCATATATAACTGGGGAGGGGCCAGGGGTGGGGAGAAGAAAAACAGCCCTTGGGGAAAAAGAGGAAAACACTTCAGAGGGACCTGCTGTAACATGTCTGCCTTTCTCCTGTCTTGTCTGTTGGTTTGCTTTTTGGCACTGACAACCCTGACCTTGTTCTTGCCAGGAAGGCGATGAGCCGTTGAGCCCTGTCCCCCGCCCTCTCCTGTTTTCTCTCCTTCTTCCTCTTCCCTGTCCCCCTCCCTTCCTTCCTGCACATTACCATGATCCTACTGCATACAAAGCAGACAGCGAACTCACTGAGCTCTTAGCTGTACAGCAGCAGCCCTTGGGCCATGGTGATTTGTTCAACCTAACCATGAGTGTTTGGTTTTTATTTATAATTATTTTCTTATTGTAGCATATGGTCTTCATGGTGATATTTTTTTGAGATGAGTCACGCAACTGTCTTTTTCAGGGTACAGTAATTTTCCACCCAGGGCACTATTCATCTGTTCCCCAACTTAGTAGTTTTTTAAAAAAATTCTTAGGTTTTTAAATTGTTTTCTAACTTTTGCTATTAAAACGAATCCTTGAATGCTATATTTTTCTCTTGAAGAATTTTCCTAAGATTTTTGTTTTTAGGATACATTTCCAGAAATCCAATGTATATGAGCATGCATAAGCACTTAAACTACCTGGAGCACTGTTGCACCCCTGGCTTGTGGCAGTCGGAGATGGAGACTTTTGAGGTTCATGCCAGTTCTTGGGCAGATCCATTTCCATGGCCACATGGAGGCAGAAGAGCCAGAAATACAGTGTTTATTTTCCCATTCTCTGCATTTCTTTCTTTTGTTCTTTCTTTCTTTTTGGTCTTTTTTGAGGCAGGGTTGCACTGTGTGGTTCAGGCTGGCACTGAACTCACTTTGTAGCTCAGGCTGGCCTCGAATTTGCAGGGATCCTCCTGCCTCAGCCTCCCAAAGGCTGGGATTGCCAGCACGCGCCACCATGCCTGGCTTAGATTTCTTTCTTACTGCAGCTCCTCGATGACACGAAGCCCGGGCAGTGCCACCCCTGCTGCTCCTCGCGCAGGGGCTTCTCTGTCCGGGCCTCTTGCTGTCGTGGGGGGGTGTTCTGCGCTGGGAGGAAGGGGCTGCTCGCAGTCCAAGAACCACCGGCCAGGAAACCTTCCAGGTCTGAAGATGGTGGAGGGCTTCAGGGAAAAGAGCTGGAGAAATGAAGTGCTGAGTGAGAACGTGGGCAGGAGCCGCCAGAAGGGCTGGGGTGACCGCAGAAAAGCGCTTGGGGGGCCTTGAAGTGCATGGCGTGGTGCCTGGGCTGGAGACAGGAGGGCCGGGACGTGGACAGCGGGGGCTCCTGCTATGTGTCCACTGTTGACTCCTCTCTTGGTCTTAATTGACTTTCTCAAGACAAAAACTAAGTAATAATTCGTTTTTGCTTTCTCTTCTCTTTTCCAAACGAACGATCAAAAAGCAACTTCCAACGCATGCTTTTCTCCTACAGAAGCCAGCGAGTCCTGCACCGCCCAGCCCAAACCGTGCGGGGCGCGCCGGGACCCCGCTGTCCCCGGCGGCGCGCAGAGGGGGAGCCTCGCCCCGGCGGAGAAGCCCAGGGCGTCGGTGCTGCCCACGGCTAACGGGGTCCGAGCCCGCGGGTCGCAGCCCACAGAGAAGCCCGAGCCTCCGGGGGGACCCGGGGAATCCGAGCCACCTCAGCCGGGTGGCAAAGACGGTTCCCCGGGAACAGAGGTGACGAAGGGCGCGGAAGCAGCGCCCGAGGTTCAGGCTGGGACGGGAAGTGCGGAGACGGACGCCCCGGGGCCGGCGGGACACAGCCCGCCTCTGGCGACAGCTGCAGCGCTCGGGGCCGCAGAGCCACCGGGGGACGAGGAGCAGCCCCAGCGCCCAGGGACCCCCAGGGGGAGCAGCGCCCCGGAAACCCTGGGAGGAAGTCAGGCGGTGGAGACCGGGGGAGAGCAGCGTCTTCAAGAAGCAACGGGGCAAGAAGAGCAGGCACAGTCTCAGCTCCCAGAAGCAGCTCCCGAGGAGAGGGCACCGCCGGGAGCCCCGGAAGGAAGCCGGTCCCGGGGAGCCGTGCAGGAGGCGCAGCCTGCAGACGCGCTCGGAGAGGGCGCGCAGCCTCGGGCTGCAGAGGGAATTCCTGCAGAGGGCGCCACGCCCGAGAGGCAGGACGGAAGCCCGCCTGGGCAAACTGCAGGGGGCCAGGACCCAGCCCACACAGCTCCTCAAGGCCCCGGCGCCCCGGAACAGGACCAGCCTGAAGGCACGGTGCAGGGCACGGAGCACCCAGCGGGAACCGCAGAGGTGGACAGGGAAAGCCGCCCCACCGCAGAGGAGCAGCGCGCTGAAGGTAAACAGCTTTCAGAGGCTCGGCCCGCGCTCCTAGAGACCGGATGCAGTCAGGGGAGTCTCTTTGGCTTGACTCAAACCGAAAAGGTTGCAATGCCTGAGGAATGGGCATCCCATCACTTCCAGGCTCAGCCTTCTAGTAAATGCTTTCTTTTTGAGGGGCGGGGTACCAGAAATGGAACTCAGGACCTCATGCTTGCCAGGCAAGCCCTATGCCACCAAGATAAATCTCTGGCCCCTAGTAAATGATTTCTAAAAATCTACATCTTGGTTTTTAACCTAAGGTTTGATGGTTAAGTAGACTTGAGCACTGAAGGTAACATTAAAATTTTTTAATTTTTCCAAGTTCACTTTTCACCAGGTTCCCTGCAGGGTGCGAGGATCCAAAGTCAAGGGAAGCAGATGGTTGACGGAGGACTTGACCTTACAGTGTCAAAATATACAGAGAACAGATCTTAAAATACAGTTTCCATCTTGCCCAGTCTTTACAAAGCTGTTGTCAAGTTTGCTCCTGTTGTGCTGTAGTTTCCTCTTCTCCGTGTCTCTTTCGGTGCTGGGCGTCCAGGACACCCAGGACTTGGTCCACGCACTCATTCTACCCCCAAACTGCACCCCAACCCCATAGTCCTCTCTTCACAAGAAGACTGGAGAGTGTGTATTATGTCTTGGTATGTGGGGTTTGAAATGTTTTAAATCTACATTACCAGCATAAAATAAATGACAGTTATACTGTTCTTTATTGGAGTTATAACTAAAAAAATAAATAACTCTTCTTCTGAGGCATGGTTTGCATTTTGGTAAACCTAAGATTCACAATGCAGGATAATTAATTATAGCCATCCATCTGTTTAAGCCTTTCATTTATTGACTCACTTTCTTTTTCAATGCTGGGGATTGAACACGGGCCTCATGGATGCCAGGCAAATGCTCTGCCGCTGAGCTGCCCTCTAGACCAACTCGTGTCCTTTGATGTCTGTCCCCACGCTAGGTGCTGGAGAAAGAGAAATAGATGGTCCCTGCCTTCAGGCCTCTCTACCTCACATGGGATGGGAGAATATAGACAAATTACTGCAATCCATTGAGGCAAATGCTTTAATAAAAGTATATAAAAAGTGCTCTGAGAATGACAAAAGAGAACCAAGTAAAAGCATATGTTTTTTAGACTAGAGTAGGCCAAGTCAGAAGTTTTTTGAGCCTTGATTCTGAAAATGAGTTGAGTGAGGGAGCATGACAGATTTTGTGTTGATTGGGGGCCCTGGAGTCCTTGGTGAATAGAGGGTCACAGCCAAGCTGCTGGGTGGCTCCCCCTGTGGGAATAGGGACCAACATTTCCCAAACCACCTGCTTAGGGAGTCAGCTTTGTATGTGCAGTGTCCTGACATTTTTTTTTTTTTTTTTTGTCTTTGTGAGACAGGGTCTCTATGCAGTTTAGGCTGGCCATGAACTCACTTTATAGCCCAGGCTGGTCTCGAACTCGCAGTGATCCTCCTGCCTCAGCCTCCCGAGTGCTGGGATTTACAGGCACGAGCCACCATGCCCGGCTTTTAGTGTCCTGACTTTTAAATATAAGCAAGCATAAAGGCCAAATAAAAGATTTTGGGTCATCCCTGGACCACATTTTAATTTATAGATATAAATTAAACTTTCTACTGTAATATGTTCAACTGCACTTTTGCATCCTGATTTTATTGAAGAGAATACAAAAGCTTGGAGATGTTAAGTGACTTGATGTTGCAGAAAAAGACCAAGCCAGGTGAAAGACATTCAGCACCGAGGAACCTGGAGGGCACACAGTTTTATATACATCATCAGACTGATGAGACTCTCAGTTCCCAATCATCAGACCTGTCTTGGGGTTAATAAAACACTTAGATATGTTTTTAACAGGAAATACAAAAACCCAGCGGGAAGTACTAAGCATGTTGCTAACAGGACTTTCTATATTTGGCCACATATTGTCTTGTGATACGTTGCTAGGCAGGTTTGGCTCAGGCAAGTTAAATGGGGGCTTTCTACCCTACAGCAGGAAGGTTAAGGGTAGAGTGAGCAGGAGGAATCAATCACCATCTTAGACTGAGGAGAGCTGTTTCTGGATGTAATCTCCCTGAAACCTTGGAATGGGTTAGCACAGCAAGGTGCGTTTTTGTCTGAGCTACACTTACCTTACGGTCTGCACCTGAGTTGCAGTACCAAGGCCAGCTGATCTTTACGATTCTCTAGTTAGGGGAACAGGCTGTGCCTGTCTTTTCTCATCTTTGAATATAATGACAGACTTTATAAGTTTTAAAATTTACAATTTCCCTTCCATTGACACTGGCCATTCATCTGAGGGAACCGGGAAACACCGCCAAAGAAACTTGCTTTGTAGACTGAAAGAGCTAACACTGCTCTCATTGGATGGCAACAAACTACGCACTGATTTGTTGCTACGCACTGACAACCTCACTACAGTAAGTGAATGTCTCCTAATGTCCTTTGGTTACTTTCCCAGGCAAGGCGAGAGAAAAGGAGGAAACAGAGGTGAAGGAGAAAGTAAGTGAAGAGGCTGAAACCAAAGAAGAAGAAACAGGAGAAGCCGTGGATGTTTCAGCAGCCACATAGATGGGGCGGTGACAGCAGGGCGGACAGACACAGCGTGGTGTGGCGGAGAAGAGAGAAAATGGTAGTGACGCTGGTGGGGGGGACCTTATCTGTCTAGAGCTGCATGGTTTATTCCGGAAGTGTGGGAATAGATTGTTGGGACCATGTCATTGATTGCATTTTTACATAAAACTGCTATGCTGGAAAGTTTTCTTAGCTACTTAAGATAATTACACATTTAAAATTATAATAGCCGGAGCCAATGAAAACTAGGGTATATGACTGCTTATGAATGTGAGGGTGACGTTAGTGGTTGTGGCAGTGGATATAAAGGACACTAAAAAGAAAGCATAAACCTACGTAGGTGGCTGGAGAAAGGAGTTAGTGCAGTTTAAAGAAGTTGTAGTAATAGTTACACAGCAAAATTATGATAGAGCAAGAATGAATAACACCAAAAACTGTGGGATGAGCTACACTTTGTATTTCTGTCCTCTCCTAGGAATCAGGGCCGGTAGGAACTTTGGGAAGTATTTTACCTAATTACCTCCTTACCTGAAGTCTACCTGCTGCCACAGACCCTGTGCACCATGGCGTATTAAGTACGTTAACAGAACGCTTTCCAGGGGAATGCACACTCTGGTGCTGGCCCACGATGAAGCTTTTTTCAATAGTGAAAGGCTCCACATTGTCCACGTGCCATTTTGAATCAGCCGTTCCTTACCTATGTGTGATTCAGCTTATGTTGTTACCTTCCTGGCTAGCATGAAAAGCACTTTGAGCTCAGTGACCTCCATGTATTTCCGAGATAACAAACAGCAAGAATTAAGACCTAGCTTTATTTCTTACGTGGAGTCTTTCCAGGCCCTATTTGATTTTTAGATAACTACTATTTACTATTAGATTTTAGAAGTGGAAAGGAGGTAAGACATCAAGATTTTAAAAACATTTATAATTTCATTCATGTTAAAATGATGTACCACATGGGCCAGGGAGTTAGCTCAGTGCATAAGTGCCTGCCTTGCAAGCACAGGGTCGTGAGTTCAATTCCTGGTTCCCAAAAAAAAGAAAATAGAAAGAAAGAAAATGATGTACCACAAAAGTGAAGAAGACTTCACTTTTCAAGAAGTCTTCCAAAATTGGCAAGGGTTTTGGCAAATAACTGAATAAGTGGTATCATAGTTAATGTGCCCACTGTTAAGTGCCTGGTGTTTGTGAATATCACAGTAGAATTCTAGAAACATTTGGTTTCTTTATGGTATTTGTAAATACGTGATTTTAGGTAACTGCCCAAATGAATTACCTAGACTCTCTTTTACTATAGATTCAACATTAAAATGACTTACTAAGAAAATTTATAATTAATCACAGGAATATAGGATATAGGAAGAGAACATAAACTTTTTTGTTTTTAATATTGATTTATACCTTTGGCTTTAAAGTGTTCTGGTAGACAACAAAAGGAGTTCCTAGAGCTGAGTGTGGTGGTGCACACCTGTAATCCCAGCACTCACGAAGCTCAGGCAGGGGGATTGCCTGGAGCCTGAAGCCAGGCTGAGGTCAAGGCCAGCCTGAACTACACAGCAAGACCTTTTCTAAAATACACACACACACACACACACACACACACACACACACACACACACAGAGAACCAAACCAAAATCCCAAATTCCTCCAAACCAAAAGGAATTCCTTGAGCAGATGACATCATCCTATTAGCAAAATAAAAATAGCTGGATCATGATTTCCTGAAAACAAGCACTGTGTTTTCTATGTCTTTAATTTAAACAACTAGTGCCTTTAAAGGAACATGACAGGGAGTCTGAACATTAGTTGAATTAATCACTAGAAAATAATATACTTAAAATATGAATATGTTATACTGACCCCATCCTATCTGGGAAACTGAAAAAAGTTCACTTTTACGTCAAGACTGCTCAAACTCAGTGATTTTATGTTTGGTGTAATTAAGAATAATAGCAGTATTTCTAGGTCAGAATCAAGAACTGATATAACTTACTTTTTGAGGTACTTTTCTTTCTTGCTGTCTTTCCTTCTTTCTTTCTGTCTTTCTGAATTCCTTCCTCCCTTCCTCCCTTCCTTCCTTCCTTCCTTCCTTCCTTCCTTCCTTCCTTCCTTCCTGGCAGTGCTGGGGAGTGCACGGAGGACCTTGCACATACTAGGCAAGTGCTCTACCACTAAGCTATTTTCTCAGCCCTGAGATAAATATTTTTTTCAACCCAAAGGTTTTTCCCTGACCAGAAGGAGTTTTTATACAAGAGTCTTAGAAAACATCAAGGCAGATAAGTATGTGACTGGTGAATGTATTAATTAGTTTGATTTAATACTTTCAGAATGCATATAAACATCAATACATCATATTGTGCTTCAGAAATATCTAAGTTTTTGGTCAATTAAAAATAAAACAAAATTTGAAAAAGATACATTAGGGCTTTGTATAAAATATGGTCACCCTCTTAAGTGATATTGTCCTTTATACCAAGCACCGAAATAGGATTAATTTAATGAAGAGGCATAAAGACCAGGCTATCATGAGTGATTTATCTTTTAAAAAAAATAATCTCTGACATATGTTAAAGAGACCTATTTGGAACTCATTCTTGAACTCTTTTTCAAAAAAGCATTTTCTGTTTCCAATATGAAACGTCTCCAGGGCACGGTGGCACACACTCGTAGTCTCCGCGTATGGCAGGCTGAGGAAGGAGGATTTCCAGGAGAAGCCAGCCTGGGCTACAGAGTGAATTCAAGGCCAGCCTGAACTGTACAGTGAGACCTTATCTCAAAACCAGACCAAACCAAACCAAACCAGACCAAACCAGTGGTCAGGTGGTACATGTCTGTAATCCCAGCACTTGGGAGCCTGAGGCAGGAGGATCACTGCAAGGCTGAGGCCAGCCTAGGGTATCTAATGAGTTCAAGGCCATTTGAACTACATAGTGAGACTGTGTCTCAAAAAACCAAAAGAACCCCAAAAAACCAAAAACAGCGAAACAACAACAAAAAAACTCAACCCAAACAAACCAAACATTTTCAAATCATTAATCTCGTTATTTCTCATTAGTGACAGAAATCTCAAAAACCTGGAAATGCATATACATTTTGGTACTTTCTATACTGTATTTATCCTTTTATGTGGCTACTAAGATATTTACAGGACTTAAAAAATTATTTTACATAAAGTATGGATGGTTACTTTGTAGTCCAGTTTAGGTCTGATTGAGATAATGACTGTTTTCTGTACCTGATTAGAAGGGAACTGGTGAACCAGTGATGGCCTAACTCGCACTCCTGTGGGGAATGGACATTCTGCCAGTTGCAAATCTAGGAAATGCCCAGTTTAGACCCCTGGAAGTGTCCTCTCCCAAGTGACCCACAGTGTAGAAGTTTGGGGTTGCCCTGTGATTTTACTGCTTTTTTCCTTTAGATTTTGGAGTCAGGTCTCCTAGGGAGGCTCACAACTTTTGAGCAAACATCCAATTCACCTTTAAAGGAGATTTTGTTTCAAACTTGGCTTTGAATTAAGAATTGGAAAAAGGAAAATGTTTTCTATACATTTCTTATCAGGGAACCACAGATGGTCATGTTATCTACCAGAACACTAGTGTTTACACTTGTGTTCTTCTGGCCCATTGTGTACTTGGATGGGGATCACCAGCCCCTCATGTTATAAACATTGCTGGTACGCTGGGCTCCTCACCAGGAAGTCACAGCCCAGAGGTAACCTTTCCATCCATCACCACACCCGTCAGTTCAGTGCCAGAACAAGTTAGTAGATTTCAGCTAGCAAAGAATCAGCATGGATTACTTTCAGGTTTCTTGGATGTCAGTCGTTTAAAAAGTATTTTTTAAGGTGCTAAAGACTGAATGCAAGCCCTTCAGGCTGAGCTACATCTCCAGGCTTTTTATTTTTATTTTGAGACAGGATCTTGGTAAGTAGAGTTAAATAGAGACTTTCCAAGATACAAAGATGCTTAAGCTGGGTTTGAACTTGGTGGTCCTGCCTCAGGAAAAAACCTTTTTCTTTGGTAAAAATGATACCGTTTTTGTCGAGGTCCTTGCAGGAGACACAGAAAGTGGTTACTTAGATAATAACTACAAGGAAAGATTTATTAAAATAATTCTTTTTTTTTCTTAGTAACAAATGAATGCAGTTCATCACAGAAACTTCAGAAAATACAAATTTAAAAGATGGAATCCTAATGCAATTAAAAACATCACTGTTAGCACGTTGACGTATACGAGGGTTGTATTTTCAGCTGCAAAACTTGTAATAACTTAGCCAAACCAGAAGGATTAGGGGAATGCTAAGTCTTTGGAGGGCCTGAGCACAGCACTTCTGGGCATCCCTCATTGGAGATAACATGTCAGACAGCAGGGTCCAGCATCCTGGCTGGATTTGTGAATGCTGGTTAGTGTCACAGCAGAAGCAACCGTGCCTTCTGTATTAGCACGTAGCTGATTATGATTCATCACTTGTTATAGAGGGACACTTCACTTAAGAATGATTTTTTAAAAATAATTTACTATAGCTGAACAAATGGTAGAAGTGAGAGAAGAGTGTAAGCCTTTCTGAAGGCAGGAAAGGTAGCTTAGAGGTCATTTTGTCAGCTGGGCCACATACAAACTTGGCATTCTGGGAATATTTGTAGCTGACAAATGTTCTCTATTCTCATATGTATAATCATGGTAGTTTCCTTATTTACTAAATATAATTGGCTATAGAAGGAATTATGGCCAAAGTTTTTATAAAATCGTTTTCTACTATTGATTCAACATTTGTAATTTTGATTGATAAATATTATTAGAACTAATAAAGTGTTTGAAGGCTCATCTTGGTGTTATGGCTTGTATTTAAACCACCCCCCCCCCACTCAAAGCTTCACGCAGTCATAGGTAGGGCTTTTTGGAAGTGGCTGGATCTAAGGTGTGTGAATGTGGTTAAGGGTGTGATACTGGGTTAAGGGTGTGTGGTACTGAATTAGTCCACTGATCAGAATTAGCATAGCTTTGCTGGGGATGGCTGAATGGATTTACTAAAAACAGAAGCCCCACCCTGGGGGCAGGTGGCATCACCTTAGAGGACTGTAGCCTTGATCAGATAAAAAGAAAGGGGAGATTTGCTGCTGCTGCTGCCTGCCATGAAGTGTTTCTCCTCTGTGATGCCCCTCTGCCACACCGCCCTGCCTTGACGCCAGCCGACTATGGACTGAGGCCTCTAACTTGAAGTAAACCTTTCCTTTTTCAACATGGTGGCAGGTACTTAGTCTCACCAATGAGCAAAGTAACTAAGACACATTGTGTGTTTATTTGAATTGTTATTTTAAAAGCATAAGATATATGACCCATGTGGCCTTTGAGAAAAAAATCAAACTGTGCATGCACTGTCAAAGGTAAGGTACACAACAGTAAGGAAATATTGGTGGCGCTTTTAGGTATCTCACGTATCAGAGAGACTGCAGTATCTGTAAACATGCTTGAAAGGCCAACATGAAGTGTTTCACATTTAACAGCATCTAGTGATTGTCCTTTGTGTGGAAAGAAGACTCAGAATTCTGACACAGACACTAACAAAGTCAGTTAACTTGGCCCTGACAAAGATACCAGAACATTTGAATGTTCCTGAAATTCAACCAGTTTAGACATTTCCCACCTCCAAGATACCCAGCCCAAGATGGATATGGTGGTATGTGCATCTGTAATCCCAGAACTCTGGAAGGCAGAGGCAGGAAAACCACAAGTTCAAATCCATTGTGGGAAATTTAGCAAGACCCTGTCTCAAAATAAAAAAGGGCTGGAGACGTAATTCAGCATGAAAGCCCTGGGTTTAGTGCCCAGAACAGTGAAAAACCGTAACAACCTCCACTGCTCCCAAACCCAGCTCAACTCTCTCAAGCATTCAAGGACAGAAATTTATAGCCATTAACTCTTGTTTAGGAGAGAAAAGCCAATCTCTCAGGTGAACATAAATAAATATTCTAAACAAAATAGTACCAGCCTGAATTTCTTTATTTTTATTTTTTGGTACCAGGGATTGAACTCATGACCTTGAGCTTGCCAGGCAGGCACTTATACTGCTGAGCTTAATCCCTGGCCCCTTGATTTTTTTTTTTCTTGCTATGTAGCTCAGGCTAGCTTTGAACTCAGGGTAGCCCAGGATGACCTCGAACTCCAGGTGATCTTTCTGCCTCAGGCTCCTGAGTGATGGGATTACAGGCGTGTGCCACTACAGCTGGCTATGACCAACCTGAATTTAAGAATGTGTAAAATATATAACCTAAATATGCATGTTTCTATACATAAACATATACCGACCAACTTGGAACACAGAGTTGCTTCTCCATTATAAAATCCTTCCAGTTTACCGTATGAGGACATTTACCACAGGTTTAGAATAGTTCAGCAAATCTCAGCCAACATTTTTAACTTCACTGCGATCTCAGGGAAGCCCCAACACTGATTTTACAACCATGATCTTCGTCCCTTGGCAGGAATCCCCACTCTCCATGCTTTGCTTTTCCCACAGCTGTCTTCACAGGCCAGCACAGAACTCTATGCCGTGGGTCTGTGTGAGAAAGTCATGGTCACTGTCAGAATGTATTTTTGTCTTTTAGAGACCGGGTCTCATTATGTAGTTCAGGCTGGACTTGAACGCACTGTGTAACCCAGGCTGGCCTTGAACCTGTGGCAATCCTCCAGCCTCAGCCGCCCAAGTGCAAGGATTACAGGCGCATGCCACCATGCCTGGCTGTTGCAATATAACTTTGAAAACACTGGATATCCACACAAAGAAAAATCTACAGTAGTTTTAAAAATGAGACAGATCTGTCTCTCTCTCTGGAAATATCTACAAAACAATGTATAAAGTTCCATTTATGTAAATAAACAAAACAAAGCAAAAATTCAAGTATTAAACCTAGCAGTAGGCTGTGCAGACAGGAAGGGGCCTCCTTTTTTCACCTCTGTAATTCTGTACTGGGATTTACTGTCCAGGGAGAAAGCATTCATTAGTTGACTAATACTGTTGAAATACTTATAAGAGGCAGGGACACAGGCACCCCTGCATCCTGATCGCGAAGGAGGCTGACACAGGGCGACAGTTTCAGCCCAGGAGTTTTAAGGCCAACCTGGACACCCCAGGAAAATGCTGTCTCCATCTCCAAGATAGAAAAGAAGAGAAACAAGCAAGAAAGACTTTAACTGACAAATAATAACTATAAACACTCTGATAATAACACGTAAAAATGCACAAGATCAGAAATACACTTTGAGAAGTAAAACAGAGATTTAATGCCTTGGTTTCTTCCCCTTTTGTCGGGTAATGATATCATGTGTAAACTGTTAAAAACTAAGTGAACAAAATCACACCAAGGGAAATGCACGTATCTATTTTATTTCCATTAGAAAAATACCTTCTACATAAAATTTTGGTCCTTTTTCCCCCCTTTACCTCTACCACTAAGTTTGAATGATTTAATGTTACTCAAACAAAGGCACAATCATATGTCTAACAGGAGAACTAAATTTCACCTTGCTAAATCAGTAGGACTGGGCTGCATTAGGTGTGCTCTGGCCACTCCCCGGGCCCTACTTCCCCTTGTGCAGGCTGTTTTCCTTTCACTTGAGTGACAGGAATGTCACCTCCCGCAACCCGGGCAGTGTGAGTGGGTCTAAGTGTAATTCACCCCAATAGCAACCGGATTCATTATCTAGTCTTTAAGGCATGTCAGATCTCCCCGGGGGGAATTTCCGTATGTCAGGCACACCTGCTCTTTCCAACACTAGTTCTAAGAATGAAGACACTGATCTGAAGCCGCAGTGGACATTCCCAGGTAAACAGCCCTGCGCCCGCTCAGAGCGACGCTGTCGTGAGAGGCCCTGTGACAGCCACTGCTTCGATCTCAATTCGGGCTCCCTGCAAGGAAAGGACAGAAACCATGTTCCATAACCGTGAACAAATTCAGAGGGCTCAGTAACACCTGCCCCAAACATGCAACTAACAGCAATGTAGTATCTTTAGCACTACACTTCTCAAGAGAATTAAAAATAAGGAATATTCAGGAGGAGCCTGCAGCAGGCTAGGCTCATCTCCCTCAGCTCCTCCGATGCTCACAGCAGCCTTGATTCATAAAACGAAGAGCTGAAGCCGAGGCAGCCGAGTAACTGGTCATAAAGGTAACCGCAGAGGGTTAAATCCAGGTCTTGGTGCGGAGCATGAGAGCACACGCCTGTAACCCCAGGACTTGGAAGGCTGAGGCAGGGGGATTGCAGCTAGTTTAAGGCCAGCCGAGGCTACACAGTGATTTCAAGACTGGCCTGAACTACATAGCGAGATTCTGTCTCAAAAAGCAAATAACGAACAAAAAAATCAATGCCCAGGTTCAGAGTTCCTTCTACTAAACCCAACATTTTAGTAAGTTTTATGATAGTGGTCATTTCCCACAGCAACTAATTAATAACAGTGTCACTCTTGGGAGCTCTATTTTCTTCAGTGGAAAATGACAAGGGAAGTCACTTAAGAGCAGCTTCCTGTCTGGCTCCCACTTGCCCTGCTGTGTGGCTCAGAGGCACAGCAAAGAGCTGCCAGTGAGAGCACCAGGATGGTGGGCAGCACGTGCCACTGGTTTAGAAAGCGTTTTATGAGTGGAAGGTCTACAGTCCTTATAAATGACAACCAAGTGAAATTTTTATGAAGAACTGAAAACCTGTCTCAATTTGTTTTCCTCTAAGTGACTTTAAAGCAACATAGCTGCTCTAGGACTCTTTTTTTGAAGACATTGGAGACAGGATCTTGCTACATGGTTCAAGGTGGCCCTGAATTCACTATGTAGCCCAGGTTGGCCTTGATCTCACAGCAACCCTCCTGCCTCAGCCTCCCCAGTGTGATTATAGTCATGTGCCACCATACCCAGGAATTTATCTGCCATTTAAATACTCTGATTTATAAGGTTTAACTTTTTTTGAAGGAAGAGAACTTTACTTTGGGTTTGTTTTTTTGAGACAGGTCTCACCAAATAGTTAAGGTTGGCCTTGAACTCTCTATGTAGCCCAGGCTGGTCTCAAACTCATGGCAATTTTCCCGCCTCAGCCTCTTAAATGCTTAGATTACAGGTGCACCTGATTGAGTCATAGTCTGTAGAGATAAACTTTCTTAATTTTTTTCCATTTATGAAATATTAGCTTTTAAATTCCAGGGAAGCAAGCCACGTATGGTGACTTGCAATCCCAGCACTCAGGAGGCTGAGGCAGGAAGATCTTGAATTCGAGGCCAATTGGGCTACAAAACAAGATATTGTCTCAAAAAACCATGAACACAGGAAGTACATCCTTTCTTTTAGTTTTTATATTTCCTTTCACAGTGCTTAGTTTGGTATATATATTCAGAACACAGCGTAGGACTGTAAAATTGTGTGCATAAGTCATTTTCTAATGGACTTACCAAGGGCAAAGCAGCGACCTGGTAAGCAGCTCGAGCAGGAAAATTACTCTTGAAATCTGAACATAAAAGAATTTCATTTTAGTTTCCAGACACTGTATTGTACTGTTACTGCACAATCAAGAGACCAGTGAGTCACATGTTCAAACATCATACTGTTTCTTTGGTGTGGGAAACTGACCATTAAGTAAGGACCAACATGTACAGTACATGTAGGGACCTGGGACAAAAGCGTTCAGGTAGGAAGAGCAGGACAAGGGAGGGCCAGGGAGAAGAGGACAGCCCCGTCATCGCCCACATCCGCCCATCTGCACTGGCTCCTCGGCCTGCGCAGCGAGGACGGGTGGACCTGCTCCTGCCTGAGGCCACTCCGGCACCCAGACAAGCGAGCCCCACCGTGGTCCCTCATCCACTTCCATGCTGCACACGAACATGCTGAAGTAGCTGCTACCAAAACAAACTAAACCAAAACAAAATCCTCCATGAAATTCTATTACTGGAAGCCACCCTTCCCTCCAACCGTGGGCTCATACGGGCCAATTCCTCATCTCTCGCCTACCACATTATTTCTTTCTTCTCATTAAATGGATACAAGTGTTTAGTTTTAAGTCACCTACTCCTGCCAAGCTGTTATAAAGACAGAGTCCACTACTGTCCAAGCATCCCAGAGACACCCTGGTTCCTCCTCCTCTTTCATCTGCTTCCCGTTCTCTTTCTCCTGAACAGCCTCTTTTCAGTGCTCCTTCTTCGTTTTTTAGTTTGCTCATCATCTTTAGAAATTTAGTTCACTTTCTCCCACTCTGTCTTCCAATGTAGTCACTGTGTAATTTTCACTGGACTAATACTGCTTATATTATTGTGCCTGTATGAGTGCTGTTAGCGCTGGGTGTATAGTACGCTCTCTTCCTTTACTGAGTGTGTGAAGTTTTTTCCTGGATTTAGTAATGCCTGTTAAAAAAAAAATCTAGGGAGTGCTTTGAGGACTACTCAGTTCTTAGATAAATGCAACATTTCAGAGAAACAGCTCGCACTGATTTGATCAAACATTTTGCCGTATAATTCATATAGTGTTTAATACATTTGTGTGTCCATAAATAACTTTTAGGAGGCTTAAAAAGCCTAAGGGAGGCATAATACAGTTAGACTCTGGATGTTTCTAATCAAGTTATTGTTTTAGGACACATGCTATGTTTTTGAGCACCTCCTATCACTCTGAATTCATAATAGACACTTTTTATGTTAATGAATTCATTTCTCTTTAACACAGTAAATATAGTCAGATTACTTACACTGCTTGTAGATATTATTGACAGAAGCAAAGTCCTTTATGTCAGCTAGAAAAACACTTGTTTTTACCACTAGAAGACAAATACAAGCTAATTATTTGGTCTGATTAAAAACAGAAAAATAGTACATATACGTTTCCCCATCTTGATTAAAATGGGACTGAAGAAGTGAAATGGAATAGTGCTGTGCCCCAACCATTCAAACAACTTTTTTTGTTTGTTTAGTTTTGTTTTTTTGAGATAGGGTCTTGCATTGCAGTTCGGGCAGGCCTGAATTACTCCTGCTTCAGCCTTCCGAGTGCTGGGATTACAGGTATGTGTCACCATGTTTGGTTCAAAAACTTTGAAGCGTAACAAAGCTATGGCATGACATACGACTAGAAGCCAGGGCTGTAATCCCAAGCTCTTCGAAGGCCGAGTAGGAGGACAGAAGTGCAAATCCAGCCTGGGCAGTTTAGTGACTCAGCAAGGCCTTGTCTCAAAATAAAAACTAAAATAAAAGAGTTAAGAATATAGCTCAGTGTGAAAGCCCTGGTCAGTCCCTGGTACAAATAAAAACAGCAAACCCCCCCCCCCCCCCGCAACAAACAGAGAACACAAAACAAAGCTAAACAAGGAATCTGCAAAGGGAAATTCCCAGTGTAGTGAAGCCCACGCTCACCATTGGTGAAGTCGCAGTCCGCCGCTTTCAGAATCTCGCCCAGGTTGGTGAAAGCCTGGGAGACCAAAGGGTGAAAGGTCTCAGGGGCTGGTGTCACATGAAAGCCCCACATACACGCAGCCACTTGTCTTTCTAACACCTCTTTAAACAGCTCACACGACAGAAAATCTCTCCCACTCTTTTAGGACACACCCAGAAAGTCTTGGTTTCATCTAGTGGGAAGACTTTCCTTCTCTGAGTGAAAAGACTGGCGTCAATGCTAAGATACAGCCTTTCTAGTCAGTATCACAGAGTTGAAGCAGAAATAATTCCCAGGATCCCCATTCTATAATTCTTCAAAGGTACGAAAGACCTGGAAGGCATTAAAACATGTTTTAAAGCATAATTGATGTGAAAGGGTTCTTTTTCCTTTTCCTAAAAATATTAGTGAGATCTGTATGTTTGACATCTCTGGCCTCTGGAAAAACATTGCTTTTTAAACCTTACCTTCAACTTACTATTTTCTTTCTTTTTTTTTTTTTTATTTAAAGAAAGACACAACAAAATAGAAAACAAGCAGAAATAGTGCATACTTTCAAAGAAAAGAAATAAACAGTAATAAATCATTAGTTGATGTATACATATTGTCCCCCGACAAATAGTTGTTCAAGATACACAAGTGAACATATAAATAGGAATTTGACCAGGGAGACCGCAAACAGTTCCGTTCAACTATCCAACAAAAACTAAGCATTATGGCTATCAATCCTATACACTTAGTCATGTACACATTTATCCATATCTTCATTTATGTTGAGACCTAACAAAACTTATTAGATTAAAATCCTTCTGAACAAAGATTAATAATATTGCTGGATTTCACATCATAACACTCTGGAATCAGCACTGGGTACTGCAGTGCCCCTTTCTTTCCTTCATGTCGTCATGTGTCATAAGATCAGTTCTCATAAACTGTTTATAGGTTTTACACAAGCGTAATATGTATGTATGTATGTATTTCTATACATTAATATGTATCTCTATACTTGCTATATTAGAGGGAGAAACAGAACAAAGTAGGACAGAACTAAACTTTCTCCTATGGACACATAAAACTAAAAAGACATATAAAACTGCTGTATAAGGAGCTCTACCATGGTCACTGTGCTGTTTTTGTTATCATCAACAGAACTGGCTATATCATCAGATAAAGTATAACTGAACATATAAGTACATGACAGGATTAACAGAAATACAACCTTGTAAATAGTGTATAGCTATAAAAACAGGTAGGAATCAAATCAGAATGGATATTGTGGTGAATCACTGTCATTTTCAGTATAGTTGTCTATACTCCTCAACTTGATACCAGCAACCTAACAATTTTGAATAAAATCTGTCAATAATAAGCAGCAATCAAACAAGTCAGATTTAAGTAAGATCAGTCATGATATAACAGTATAAGTCATACAGGGATCCTGATTGAGTTAATAGGAAATTAAAATGACCACTATGTCCTGATATCTTTGGGACAGCTGTCTGTGCCCTCAGATCTAGTGCTTGTATACAAACTAGGACGGAACAAGTTCCAACCAAGCAGAGTGGTGTGAGTAATAGGGGTTTGAATTCCTGATACACTATTAGCTATATCTTCTGGTTTTTTTTGAAGACTATTCCTCCCTTTTACTTCCCCAGAATGAACTGTGTATTTTTGGGTCTCCTCAAAACTCATGGTTTTGTATGGGGGGGGGGCGCAACCTGCTATTTACCTAAGTGTTTCCGAGCTTTCTCACTCCTGGGCTGGATTTTTAGTTATATTTCTTCATTTATTAAAGCCTTTCTGTTCAACCTATCCATAAACACTGGTCTAGTTACCTCTAGTACTCTCTGGTTCCCTAACATATTGAGTTCTGTTTTCTCATGTTTGATTTTGGTCCATATAACCTTCTTCAGGCTAACTATATTTCCTAGAAAGAGCCTCTCAGTGGACCCTACCTCTTGATCCACCCTGCTGGCAATTCTCTTTTTTTTCCCTTAAGTTAGTGTATCTAGGCCATCTATATTAGAAATTATATCCAACCTTCTTTGCCTCATTTCTGTTGAGCTCTTTTTTGGTCATTAGTTGTCTGTTTGTCTTCTTCATTTTGCTTTCTGCTCCATTCATTGTGGCCTCTCTGCCACTGTTTCTGGAATCCTGGTACTATTCTCTCTCTTTAGAATGTCTGGCAGTATTCTCTATAGAGTTGGGTTGGTGGTTGCAAATTCCCCCAGTTCCTCTTTATCTTGGAAGCACCTTGTTTCTCCATTAATTTCTAGGGACAGTTATGCAGGATATCTCAATCTTGGCTGGAGGTTATTGTCTTTCAAAGCTTAGATTATTTTGCCCCACACTCTTCGAGATTTGATGGTTTGTGCCGAGAAGTTTGCTGTAATTTTGATGGGTGTTCCCTTGTAAACAAGTGAAATGTTTCTTGTCTCTGACAGCTTTTAATATTCTGTTCTTGGGGCTGGGGATTTAGCTCAGCGGCATAAGCACCTGCCTTGCAAGCAGGCAGTCATGAGTTCGATCCCCGGTACCGATAAAAACGAAAAAAGACAAAAAAAAAAAATATTCTGTTCTTATACCGGATTTCTGGAATCTTGATTATTATATGCCTGAGTGTTTTGATTGTAGGTGGCTGGAGTTCTGTTTGCCTCATACATCTGAGCATCTTTACCTTTTCCTATGTTTGGGAAGTTTTCCCTCATTATTTCTGTGAATAGCCTTTGCAGTTCCTTTGTTTGTATCACTGCTTCTTAATTTACATTCTTTTTTCTTAAGTTATAGATCCTCTTGTCATCTTCTAGCTTTTGTATTGTTACTGCTTGTTTCCTTGTTATTTTTAAGAAGCTTTTCCTTTCATGTTCCCACATTACCTGCCCTCCAGTTCAGATAATCTATCCTTAGTTTCTTTCAAGCTGTTATGCCAGCTTTCAATAGAGTTTTTAGTTTCCTGGTAATCTCTTTGAACCTGCTTCATGTATTCTACATTTTCTCTATTTTCTCTATCAAACAGTTCTCCCCTTTTTTTCTGTTCTTCCATTTCACCATCTGTTTTTTCTTGGGAGGTGCTTAGCATTTATTTAACTATTCTACTTATATCTTGCTTTACTTGGTTAAATACTTCACTTTTGAATTCTTCTATGAGGTCACAAATATATTGCTTTATGTCTATTGGTGCCATGCCTGATATTGCATGTTTTCTGTCCTCATTCTCCTTTGCATTTACCTTCCCTGGATCAGTGTTCTCAGGATTGGGGACCGAGGACCCTTTCTTGTTGCCTCCTCTTCTCATATTTTTTGTTCTTTCCATATAGGAGGCCCAGTTTCTTTCTTTGTCGGTTTCAGTTTGTTTGTGTTTGAGATGTGCTGACTAGGTGGTCCTGCCCACTACTGCAGTGTACTAGGAGGTACAGGCCTGGGCAGCCTATGCTGCCCCTCCAGCTCAACCTACTAAAGGCTTCACTGCCTTAGGGTGCACTGTCAGGGACCTGGTTTGGGCTAGCCTATTTGGCCTCAGTCCATGGCGTCACCCAGGTCAAGTGCTCCCCACCAATCCCACTTGAGAAGGCAATATGTGACTGAAGTCACTGTAGTGCCCTGTTCCAGCCAGTCTGCCCAGTCCCAGAATGTCCTCTGTTGGACCCTCTTTGTCTATGGAAAGGTCTTTATTCCTCTCACTCACCTCAGGTTGATGCAGGGTTCCCCGCCAGTTCTGCTCTCAATTCAGTTTGCCAATTTCCACTCTTAGAGCATTCATGCCTCCAGTGAGTTTAAACTAGCGAGCTATTCTGGCTGCACCAATTCAGGTGTGGCAGCAGCAGTGAGTTCAATCCGTGAGTTCTAGCAGTGACACCGAGACTTCAGCTGTTCCAATCGTAGCACCTGAACTGCATTTCCAATTGGTTTCTCTCAGCTTAGTTCGTTCCGGTGTCAGCAGGGCCTATCTCCCCCTGCTTAGTACTCCCCACACTGCACCATTCCTGGAATCTAAGCTGGCTATCTCAGAGAACCTCCATAGCTGCTGTTATCTATCTGCCATCTTTTCTCAATCTCCCCAACTTACTGTTTTCAATTAATTCTTCTCTTCTTTACAGACAACAATATAACATTTGATTATAGTTTAACATGTTAAAAATGATGAACACTTTAAGAAAATGAACAGTTTTACATGAGTGAGTGGCTTCAAAAGCTTTTTTTTTTTGCTTTGTTTTGTTTTCCAGACAGGGTTTCACTTTGTAGTTCAGGCTGGCCTTGAACTTGCAGTGATCTGCTTGCCTCAGCCTCCCAAGCACTGGGATTACAGACATGCGCCACCATGCTTGGCTTTAAAAAGCATTTCATCTCTACCAAGAAATCAGGCAGCAGATTCTTAATATTCATCAATATTAACAAAGAAGCAGAAAAGGAAACTTCAAATGTGGAAAACAGCTTACTTGTTTTGCTTCTTCCACTACCCCTCCTGGCACAAGCTGTCCGCTTGAAGGGTCTATGCCGATCTGTCCTGAGATGTACATGGTCCTGTCCACTAACACAGCTTGACTGCAATAAACACAAAGGCAGTGTATACGTAAAACACAAGGCTCAATGCTAACACATACAAACTTCAGAGTAAAAAAAGATAAACTGACTTCATTAAAATCAAAAGCTTGTTTATCAGTGCATATTTTTAAGAACATGAAAAGATAATTCATAGATAGGAAGAAAAATATTTGCAACACACTAATAAACAATTTATACACAGAATAAATGGAAAATGCTTACAACTCAATAATGAAAAACGATCATGAAAAATAAGCGAATGAGGTGCACAGATACTTTTATGAAAGAGGATAAACAATGAACTAAGGAGTAAAGCCATGCAACATTAGTGGTCACACAGATTTGCCAGTCCAGGCTATAAGACAGGGCCACATGCATCGGTGATGTAATAATAAGCACCAGCAAGGACGTGACGCAATTGCAGCCTCCATCTTGTTGGTAGCAATGCAAACTGCACAGCTACTTTGGAAAACAGTTTGGTAATCTGTCAGAATTTAAATATACACAACTCAGGAAACTTCCTTTCCTAGAAAGTTTCTTTCTTTCCCAAGAAAAATAAAGGTATTTGCCCAAAGACATAGCACAAATGCTCAGAACGTCGTTCTCCATGACACTGAGAAACGTAAGTGAACAAACCCTTGGTAGAACCAACTAAACAGTATTTCCTTTCATTTATGATACCGTAGAAAAGATGAACAGTGGCAGTGGAGAGCTGATTACCAGTAGTTGCCCAAGCCGGGGTGAGGGAACGGATACCGATGGCCCTGAGGGAATGTTCTAGAGGGGACAGAAGGCCCTGCAAGTTGGCTGTGGTAGCAGATGTACAACTGTGCATCACCAAAATTCATGGAACGCTAAGCACAAAATGGGGATTTTTAAAATATGTTAGTAATGCATTCCTTAATAAAGCCGTGAAACAAGTGCCTGGGGCATTTCCAAGATAAACGGACGTGACCAGTCACTGCTTGCTGCAGAGTGAATGAATTAAAGAGCCGCGGTTGATGGTGCCCTTCATTACTGACAAGTGCTGACTTTCCTAATGAGGGTGCTGAATTTCAGGACAAAGTTATAGGGAGAACCCCAGACTACACTGGTACCTAAAAACAATGTCAAACAAGTCAACATTTTCTGGGAAACGTATTAGTTTCAGCATAAAGAAGTTACCTGATTTTTGAAACTGAAGAGAGAAATCTTAATATTTGTTTTACCATTTGTATGCTTGTTTAAGATACCTCTAGTTTAATAATCTTGTCTCTTCTCCTCCTTTTCCTCCTTCCTTCTCGTTTCCTTCCTCCTCCTCTTGTTCCTCCTTTTGCTGGGCTAAGATCAAACCCAGGGCCTCACACTCATGGTAGGCAAGTATTCTATCTTTGACCTACAACTTCTGCCCCAAAGTTTCTTTTCTGCCATGAAGTTTTCCCTGGTCTTCTGGACCACACTTTTACATGGTCCAAAAATCCATAAAATACATAAAGAACAGCAGAGAAAAGTCTCCATCTTGTGCTTTGTGTGTTTGATGACCAGCCTCTAGAGATAATGATTGTTTCTTGTTTTTTAGTTTTTTGAGATAAGATCTCGCTATGTAGTTCAGGCTGGTCTTGAACTCAGGGCTCTCCTCTTGCCTCAGTCCCCTGTGTGCTGGGATTAGAGACTGCAATAGCATGCCTGACTTTGCTCCTGTTTATGTATTCTTTACTTCATGCACATGTAAACAAATGCACACATGAATTTCTTCCTCCTTTGACACAAAATATGGTATATTATCTTTTACACTTCCTTTATTCAACAGTACATCACAAAAATCCTGCATAACTACACATAGCATTCTTCATTTTTTAAAACAGCTACCCAGTATTTCATTATATAAATATACTTTATTTAATTATACATCTTAGCTTCTTTTTTTTGGGGGGGGGGTGCCAGGGATTGAACTCACAGCCTCACGTTTGCCAAGCAGGCTCTTACACTGCTGAGCTAAACCCGTGGTCTACATGTTTGTTTCTAATATTTTTATTTTTCATTAGTATACATTTATTTATGATATCATAGGTTTTTAAAAGACTAAGACAAACAAAAGAATAATTGTCAAACAGTAACAATACAGTGGTCAAATGTCTTGTAATGCAGATTTTTAAAATTCCTCACTTATTATGACAAAATTATCTCAGTAATACCACATAAAGCAGTAATAACTAGAAAAGAAATATGCTTTCTTTTACTTAACATTGTGCATATAATATTCATATATATGAACATTCACATTTATGAGCATATATCTAAATATTCATACAAACGAATAATCATGTTGATAAAAATAAGAATTAAAAAGTGGGTTGGGGATTTAGCACAGTGGCATAAGCACCTGCCTAACAAGGGCAAGGTCATGAGTACCAGAAAAGAAAAAAACAAAAAGAATTAAAAAGTGATTTTTTTCAGTATCATGGACTGAACTTGGGGCTTTGCCTATGCTAAACAAGCACTCTCCTACTAAGCCACATGGTCATCTCATTTTATTTTTTATTTTGGGGTAGGATCTTCATAAATTGACCATGTTAGACTTGAATTTGGGATCCTCCTCCATCAGTTTCCTGAATAGCTGGGGATTACAGATGTGCATGAGTGCACCCCACTAAAAATTAAATATTTCAACAAAATAAAAGTACCAACACATTGGTACTTTTAGTGACATTAACGTATTTCTTTCTTTCTTTTCTTGGTACCGGGGATGGAACTCAGGACTACGCGCTTGCAAGGCAGGTGCTTATGCCCTGAGCTAAATCCCTTGCCCCATTAATGTATTTCTTAAAAGAAAGAACTACCTAGATATTGGTCTGTGCAGTAATGAATACCATTACCTGTTCTGTTTTTTAATGTTAGCTTAGAAATATTTGTCAATAACTTCATTCAATTTACCTTTCTTCATATTCAATAGTGTAGCAAGATTTAGTGGCCTATCTTTGGAACAAAGAGCACAATTTAATAATTTTAACTTGGGGAAGTTCTTCACATGAATGAACAAATATAAGAGTTAAAGGAAGTCTTAAACATGAAGGTAAATTGGGCAGAGTCATAAACATCAGATTTAATAAGAAACTGTGAGCCCAGATAAGTCTTATGTTTGTCTTTAGGATTAATTACTTCAAATGTCTCAGAAAGGGGTAGGACTCTGGCTCAGGGGTAAAGGGCTTGCTTAGCACGTAAGGGCCCTGGTTTGATCCTTAGCATTGCAGGAAATATGTTCGTATTATAAACAAAACCCCACTGAAAACCATTACAACACATTTCCCCTGAGCAGGTAACACTAAGCCTTTGCCCTGGGCCCCAGGTCAAGCTTTCTTAGGACATAGGGGATAGGATAGGACATAGGACATAGGATAACGAGCCGTGTTCTTACCCTGTGCCCTCTCACCCCCAAGGTATCTGAGACTCTACATTTCTTAAGGGTCCAGGAGTGTCTTATGAGTCTCAGCAGCTGTGCTCGGATAGGCATCTTCTTCTTGCTGATGTTTTGCTAACCACTTACTAGCATGACCAGTTTTGGTTGTCAATAAATATCTTTTGGGCAGGACCTGTTGGCTCATAACATGGGTTTTGGAGAGCTGAAGAAAGTGGACTTGAATTTAGTACTAAGGTTTAGAGCCTAGGAAATCTCTACTATCTGGCTTTCACCCTGGTCCTCAAATAAATAATTATTGAGAGAGGTTAATTTGTAACTCTTTCTTAGGTTGAAGAGTACCTTCAGTTAACACTACTGCTTGTCCTGTTACCATCAGCTAATACTATAAATGCTGTCTTCCGACGTTTGAAATGGAGTTTAAAGTCATGAAACTTTATGATGGTGATAAAAACTCAATTATTTTTGAGAGTCAAAAGTAGCTACTGGAACGCTCAGACTATTTTTTTTTTTTTCTTTTGTCTTTTTTCCTTTTTATCGGTACGGGGGATCGAACTCACGACCGCCTGCTTGCAAGGCAGGTGCTTATACTGCTGAGCTAAATCCCCAGCCCCTCGCTCAGACTATTTGAACTGTGTGAGTTATCTCTTAGTAATTTAAAGGGATTTATTCACATAATAATTAAATACATGATTCTACTTCCTCAGCATAAGAATATTATTATCCATAGACAAGTTTCAGGTTCCAAAAGACTTAAAAGTGGACCGTTCTACTTTTAAAAGCATTCTAATAATCACAATGTCACAATCTATGCTGCTGTGTTACTGGCTGGGGTGCCAAACAGTGGAAAGCAACCCCCAGCACTGAAATGTTGAAATCTCTCAAGGCCCTGTCTTTGAATACCTTGCAACATGCTGAGCTGACGAGTTAATTAGTGACAACACCACATCCACCCCAGCGCCAGCCCTGGGGACACATTTGAATTCACTCAGCACATTTGAATTCTTTCTGGAGAGGACCCAGAATTTTCAAAGAGTCTTCACTACAAACTCCACGTGCAAAAATTCCTGTTTCCAAGTAGCTTTTAAAACATATCCCATAAACTTTATCAGGGAAGCTGGAAAGTGTTTTTCTTCAACAGAAACTACTGAAAACAAGGACCATATCTAGAACTTGTGTTCTGTGTCTCTTGGACACAGTGTTCTGTGAGGTCCTGCACCATGAACTGATCCAATAGCTTTTGTCATACTGGCTCACTCCCACGACAGTGCCCATCTGTTCTGCTTGTTTTGTTTTATCAAGATGACCCCATCACTTCAAAGTCACCAAGATATTAATGTTTTCTTTCTAGAGCAAAGAAAATAGAGTGTTTCTAAATAGGTCAAGAGAGATGTTTGCTCTTTTAGCAGTCCTCAGGACAAAGTGTCATTGATTTTTTAAAAAATGGGTTACTTTTGTTTTGAACCAAAAAGGGAGGGGGGCAGGAAAGAGAGATAGGGGACAGAAAACAGAATTAATGGCCTCATGTGGTGGCACAGGCCTGTAATCCAAGCACTTGGGTGGCTGAGGCAGGAGGGATGTTGCAAGCTCAAGGCCAGCCTGGACTACATAATACCCTGGTCCAAAAAACAAAAACAAAAAGAAAAAAAAAGCATTAAGATGTGTTATGCTCATGTACCAACTCCCTATGATGAATGTAATCATTATGTACTGTAAACACGTACTAATAATAAAATTAAAATTGAAAAAATGAAGTAAAAAAGTTATTCTAAATGCTATCAGTGTGATTAAGGAGAGGGATTAGGAGAAAAGGATAAAAATGCTATATTCCCAGACTAACTTTAGGCTTTTCTATTTAGCATTGGAAACTACCAACAATTTGAACCCAGGTAAAATCTAATTTTTACAGCTCATTTTTAAATTGAATCCCCACAATATATTATGCAGTAGCGTGATTGTTATGTCTATATGGAAGAGGCAAACTGGAGAGGTGAAGTCACTTTGCGAGGAAATACAATTAAAAAGAAGCAAAGCTAAAATTTAAATCTAAAGTTTAACTCTTAAGGAGTATTTCCCAAAGGTAAGCCATACACAGTAGATCATAGTAAAGAAATGATTTTTGTTTTTGGTTTTGAGACAGGGTCTCGCTATGTACCCCAGGCTGTCCTCTAACTCCTGGTGATCCTCTTGCCTCGGCCTTTCAATTCCTGCATTCTGTGTTGGAGATAGCAAACTAAATGAATTACACTGAGCCCTGGGGTCCATTGCTTAAATTAAAGCCCATTAGATTCTTTCTTAGCGGTGTGACCTTGGACACATTAGCTAATGTTGTGCACGTCAGGGTTTTTGTATGAAAAATGGGAACTGTAATAGACAGAATTACATCTAGTGCTAAGTATGCATCAACAAATGTTAGCCACTGTGATTTCACTCATTCTAATTAAAGAGAATAAAATATTATTTTAAAAAACAAGATCAAAGAAACATTTTTTTTTAAAAATACTGTACACGGAACCCAGGCCTTGTGCATACTGGGCAAGTGCTCTACCACTGAGCTACATCCCACCAGAAATACCACTTGTAACACAGTGCAGGCCTCAGGTTTTGAGGCAGTTGTAGTAACTAGCTAAAATTTAGTAACACTTTTTATTAAAGTTATTCTTTTTACCATTACTTTCTATTGGGTTGTATTCTATTTAGAGTTGTTATAGTTTTCTTTTACAATGAATCTGTTAAAAGCCAAGAATGGGGCTGGGGATTTAGCTCAGTGGCTTAAGCATCTGCCTGGCAAGCGCAAGGTCATGAGTTCAATCCCCAGCATCGTTAAAAAAACAAAACAAAACAAAAAAAAACCAAGCATGGTGTCACACTTCTGAGATCCCAGCACTTGGGAAGCTGAGGCAGGAGGATCACAAGTTTGAGGCCAGCCTGTGCTATACAAGTGAGCTTAAGGCCAGCCTGCACCACATGGTGAGACCCTGTCTTAAAAAAGAAAAAAAATGTATTAAATAAACTCAGACTCAAAGAAATAAGTAAACCATACTACAGGTGGTGTAGTGTTGGGGAAAAATGTAATACTGGCCCTTGTATTACTAAAATTTCTCCCCCCAAAGCATTTTCCCATTCCTATATTATTGCTCTATTTGGAATCCCCTATTTGGAATGCCCTTCACTCCATGACAGCCTGAATTCTGTACCAAACTGATTGAAAAACAAAAATCAAACTTTACAATAGTCCTAAAAATGGCAAATCCAATCTTCAAAACCCAACTTAAGGACTATGAAAGCTGAACAAAACATTTGGTGACTGTTCAAAAAAATGTACACAGTTGTGGATTGCAAACTGATTATCAACTGAAACACCAGCTAAACTGAATCAGTGTGGTCTGCGTGTAGACAGCCTGCTGGAGGATTGTTGCCAGCATAAAAAGGAGACCTGGAGAGGAAGAGTTGTTGTTTGATGCTGTTGGTTCTGTTGGTGTGAGTTCTCCTGGAGGAGCTTTCTGAGCTTCTTTCCTGATATGAACTTGGCTGTTCTCATAGTCAGAGGAGCTCAGGAGCTTGTTGCTGAGATGGCTGTGCTTCACTTTGGGGTCCTTACTTTGAGCATCACTTCCAGGATCCACCGGGGAAGATGTGTGCTGTCCAGTCACCACGAGAGGCTTGTCATACTGGCTTCCTGACATGAACTCAGGTGTTCTCATTGTTGGAGGAGCTCGGGACCTGTCACTGAAGATGGTTGTGGTACTTTTCCAGGGAGCCCTGGTTCTTACTTTGAGTGCTGCTTTTTGGCCCAATGCACAGCACAGATCTTTCATCTTGCTGGCACAGACTTTCTGGCTTCCACTGCTGACCTTGGAGCCTTGCTAACACAGATCCATGAAACAGACTTGCATGAGTCATTGTCATGGGCTCTAGGTTTTCAGCTGAACTCATACAGGTTATTATCATGGGATCCAGGCTCTTGGATACATTTTCTAGGTCTTTAGTGTGTGGACAGATTTCCTATACTTTTTTTGTATTTGACTCCTTGGGTGATCATTATAGATAATACTATAAATTACGTGTCCTGTATTGTCTTGTCCTCCTTGCAATCCCTGACTATAACAGTATAAGAGCAATTGGTATTAATCTTCTCCAAAATACCCTCCCTTGCCTCAACCATTTCCACATTCTTGCCACTTTCTGAAGCAGTTCTGGAACTCTCTTTCATGAGCATCTCTGTGAGGTGTGATCAATGATACAGTCAATGCTGATGCCAGGAGCCACCCAACTGAAAGGCAGGCTCATAGAAACATTATACTGTGTCCTCATCCACCTTATTCACCAGACCTGGCACCATGTGACTTCTGGCTCTTCTTCAACATCAAAATGACCGTGAAAAGTAAACGTTTTCAGCGGATTCAGATTATTAAGGCAGGCACCAAGGCAAAACTGAAGATATTAAGGCACTTGTGCCTTTTATAAGGAACCATTCTAAATCTTATTTTTTCTCGCTTTCCATGTGTTCCCTCATTCTATTGCATTTATTTCCAACTATACTACAATAATTACATGTGAGCACGTGGAAATGTGGTATAGAGGGAGCAAGGGCTTGAGATCAGGACGAGCTGTCACTTCCAGACTCTCTGATCTTGGGAAAGGCGACTTAAACTTCAGTTTTCTTTTTGTAAAATGGAGATAGGAATTAAGAGAAAGCTGGTTGTTACGGTACCGGCCATACAGCATGCACTGTTTCTTTTTCTTTCCTCCAATGTGTGAATGCCTTTCATACTGGATTGCTTCTTACACATTTTTTACATCTCTGAATTGCTGACATGTAGGTAGCCATTCCATACATATTTGTCATAGTTTGAGTGTCCCAGCTGTAAATGTTTTCTAGGTTTGGTTCTTTTAACAAGGAACAGGTACAATAAACTATATTTTAAAAATGAAAAATAGCTATAGAGTACATGTTAGTGAAAAATTAAAATAGGCAAAAATTACATTAAGAGTAAGATCCAATGGTTTTATTTTAATTTTATTTGTTATTATTAGTAGTAGTAGTACTGGTATTGGTCTTTTTTTTTTTTTGGTATTGGTCTTTTTTGAGACAGGGTTTTACTATGCAGTTAAAGTTGGCCTTGAACTAAGTAGCCCAGGATGGCCTCCAACTTGCATTGATCTTCCTCCTCTTTCAGACTTTCAAGTGTTGGGATTACAGGCATGTGCCACGCTTGTCTAGTCCAGTGGTTTCAGAACTGAGATTTTTTGGGAGGGGTACTGGGAATCGAACTTTACCTTGTGTTTGCCAAGCAGGCACTATGCTACTGAGCTATACACCCCAGACCAAAGCTAAGATTTTTTTTTTGGTACCAGGGATCGAACTCAGGACCTTGGGTTAACCAGGCAAGTGCTGGGCTGCTGAACTCTTATCTCCGGCCCCCTGAGATTTTTTTTTTTTTTGTCTTTTTGAAAGGGTTCAGATTGGCCTTGAGCTCATTTTGTAGCCCGTAATGGTCTTGAACTGGGAATGATCCTCCTCCTGTCTCAGCCTCCCGAGTGCTGGGATTACAGGCATGAGCCACCATACCTGGCTCCCATGAGGTGGTTTTTAAAAAATGATTTTTTAAAAAAAGAATTAATATTTCTGCTTATAAGCACTTTTGAAAGTAGAAATAAATACACACACAGTGCCATCTTTCTGCCAGTATTCATGTATTTAGCAACTGACAATCGTAGAAAATGACATTTGTTATTAGTTGCATCTGATTTTATTAGTGGCCAACGAGCACGCTCAATGAATTCATAAATACCACAGCACCTTTTCAAACATGTTGTAAAAACCAAAGTTTGGGTAGATTCACAGGGATATGCTAAGCACTTCAGTGAAAAGAACTCAGCTGCACCTAGAGGGCACAACCACATCTGTTGATGGGATTTTATCCTTTAAATTGAGAGGGTTAGATCAAATCTTATGCTAAGAAGACAGAAAAGATTTTATTTATAGAAAACATCTAGAAAAGATAACTTCACAGAGGTGGAAAGTAGCTTCAGAGTTGTTGGGCTGGAAGGGGGGAGAGAAGGGAGAAAGGACGGGAATAGAAAGCGGTGATAGTGACATACTTTTGAGTACAGTCATGACCATTGAATTGTCTATTTTAAAAGTGTGAACTCTAAGGTCTGTAAGTTATATCTCAATAAAGCCATCCCCAATAAACTCCCCAGGGTTTACCAAAACAAAACCAAACCACCCATTAATAGACACAACAAAAATCCCAGAACACCACCTCCCAGACTAAAATCGGTTCAGACCACTTCAAAGCAAAGAAAGCTTTCTGGCTGCCTAGAAGGCATGCATCCCAGATGGGGGCGAAGTCCTCGGAGCAGTAGCTCCCAGTTCGTGGTGGTGGTGGTGGTTTCTCTATTGGTTCCCTGGAGGGTTCCCAATTCTACGGGTTCCTGTGTGCCCCGCGGTCTAGGCTCTGCCACCTCGCGCTTTTAAGGGGTCTGAACTGAGGACCGCCCGAGGCCAGCCTGGTTAGACCCAACGTGGCCCACCACCAACTCTGCACGCTTGGGGTCCTTCTGTGATCCCACAGCCACATTACCTATAAGCCCCAACGGGTCTCGGGGCTTTCGCCGTGCTGATCACCTTTTTGATCAGGGATGTCATAGCTAAAGCCTATCTCGCTCCGCGCGGTCCTCCAGGGAAAAGTGCTAGCGCCAGACCAGATTGCCTCTCACCTCACTGATCAAGCTTCCGGGAGAGAGCCCGCCCACCGCTGGGCACTCTGGGAACTGTAGTCCGCTCCCGACTCCGAGCCACGTGGACGTGGTGGCCGGTTTGCGCATGCGTCATCTCGCTGGCTTGCCGCGCCGGTAGCCTCTGTGACTGTCACAGAGTCTTGTCATTCTAACCCGGGGAACCCTGAGAACGTCGGGCAGGTAAGTCGTGAGGCGCTGGTTCCCGCTAGGGACCGCAAGTCCGAGGAGATCCTGTGTGTGGTGACCCTGTGCGTAGTCTCTCAGACTGCTGACCTTTGGTGCGTGCTGCCTGCGGCCCGGGCCCCTCTTCTCGGTCCCGAACCTTCTTCGGGTTGGTGCAGTTGAGCCCTTAGGTCTGTCGTTTACCCCCATTGCCCCGCAGGTCGGAAACCGTCCAGGGAAGAGACATGCACCCTTCTGTCACCCTAAGGGGACAAGATGGGGTCCTTCAGAGGACCTCGCCAAGGCTGGGGCGTTGTCCGTCTTCCTGCCCCTCCCACGTTCTGGCCTCTGGCATGCTCCTCCGGCTTTACAAGGTCTCCTGATCTGATTTCAGAAGGAAAGAGTATGATTTTTGATTCACATAGTAGTCCCAGAGCTGGCTTTTATCAGAAAGGCTGAATATTTCTCATCCTGTTAATATACAGTGCATTACAGCCCCACACCATTTCTTCATGTATGCCTCTGTGTCGTGGTGGCAGTTAGCTGTGTACTGGTGCTGCAGAAGGATAAAAGATCATCTTTCCTGCCTCCAAAACATACTTCAGGAATCCCTTTGATTGCCTCTTATTTTGTTCCACAAAGTGCTAAATAAGACTTTGCCTTTTTTACTTCTGGTTAAAGAACTTTTAGAATTCATATCTTTTTCAAGTTTAGGACACTAACCTGGAACAAAAATCCTGTCAGTCTGGCCTCCTTTAGTCTGTTTAGTTTCATCCTCTAATGTTCTATCATTCCCCCTTAGTCATCCAGAGTCCTCACCCCTGTTTATATAGTAGGTTCCCCCAATACTTTCTTCCCTTTCCACCCAAATTCTAGCCAACTGAAATCCAATTTTCATATTGACTTTTCCTACTGATTCATTTTTTTCTTTTATTGAACTTCCTGCTTTGCTATACTCCAAAATATAGTATTTTTTCAGGTGTGATTTTATTCTTTATTCCCAGCACTGAGGAGGCTGACACAGGAAGATCTCAGTATTTGAGGCCAACCTGGATTACATAGTGAGTTGAAGGCCAGCCTGAGCTACATAGCAAGACCCAGACTTGAAAAAACAAAGCAACAACAGAAAAATGAGTAGAGTCAGACTACCTCATTTGAATCCCAAAACAATCACAAGAAGCTTAGTGGCCTTGGATGTGTATAAACTGCTGTATGCTTCAGTTTATTTATAAAATGGGGGTCAACACCAGTGCCTCCCACAACAGTATGTGAATTAAAGGAATAATGCATGTGGAACAGTGCCTGGCACATAAAGTGCTCTTTGTTAGCTGCCTAAGGTTGATTCTTAAGCAAACAGACTCTATCTGATACTACTGTGGTATTACATAAGCCCCTAAATTGTTAGGTACATGGTAAGTACCCAGAAGCTACTTAAACTTGATTATATTGGCTAATTAGGAGACACTTTAATTTATTAAATAATTCACTCTATGATATTTATTTATTTATTTAGTACAGGGGATTGAGCCCAGGGCCTTGCACAGAACTACCTCCCGAGCCCTTTTTATTTTTTATTTTGAGACAATATGTTGCTAAATTGCTCAGGCTAGGCTTTAATGTGGAATCCTGATACAGCCTCCAGAGTGCTGGGATTACAAGTATATGTAACCATGTGTGGCTGCCATGTCACTTAAAGACCTCTCTTAGAGCATTTCAGATAATTCAAATGTGAAATGTTTCTTGTGAAACAAGACAGTTATTATTTTTATTATTGTTTGTTTTTTTTGATACAGCTTTTCGCTGTGTAGCCCAGGCTGGCCTCTAACTCAAGGTGATTTTTCTGTCTCAGCCCCTGGAGTGCTGGGATTGCAGGTGTATGCCACCATGCCCAGTTTTTTTTTTTTAACAGCAGCTATCAAGTCTGAATCAGCAGTTTTTTAGATCTAGAAGAAAGAGCTATTTGTGATTAGTTCCCAGGTTCTCAAGCTGGAGTCAGCAATACCAAGGGATATATTTGGTCAGAGGATTCTCAGCTGTGTGAGAAAATATGATATCCTTTTTATTTGAAGATTTGGGGAAAACATGTTTATAAAGACTGGCATATATTTAATATTCTTAAATTTTGACTAGATGAAGGTAAAAACACATACAAACTATGTATATTAAGTGACTTGAATATTAAGAGTTAAAATTTCTTCTGGAAGCTGTTTTAAGCTAAATTTTCAGACTTCATAAGGATGTATTCTATAGTTATTCTTTGTGCTGCTGGAATTGCTTGAGGATCACTAATAATTAAGTTTCCTCTTTTTTTTTCTTTTCTCGTGGCACTGATCCAAGACCCTGGTGGTGGGCTTCATTCCCACCCTTTTAAAATTCGTTTATTTTGAGACAGCATCTTGCTTAGTCACTAAAATGAACTCAAACTGTGATCCTCCTGCTGTAGCCTCTCAGAGTGCTGGGATGACAACAGGCATATGCCAGCACACCTAGCTTTTAGTCTCCTCATCTTTTAGTCTGGAATCAAAGATAGAGATCTGACACCCCAGGATTACCTTAATCCCCCACACCAGCCCACCTTTGTCCCATAATAAGCCTGAGCATAACCAAGGATCCTAGAGTCGTCCTCTTCTGATTCAAGTTCATAGCAGTAGGCAGACAATAGATTACTTGTAATTTGTAAGCTGGTTTGAATCACATGCTTCACTAGCTAACTAGTTTTGCAGAACTCCACTTACTTTCTACATATTCAATATGAAAGATGCTTTTGGACATAGTTAATAGTTGTCTTTCATTAAGATAAAAGCACAGTGGATGGAGTAAGACTATGAAGTGACATAAATTCCTGTTATTATTTAAGCATCATAGCTAATTTAAACTGATTGTTTAGTTTGTACAACTCCATGCTAGATATATAAATATATATTTTAAATTTTATATTTTATGTAGCATATATAATTTATATCTATCTATCTATCTTTCTATCTATTTATTTCTCTCTGTGTGAAGCCTAAACCTAATTTTTAAAGTTTTGTTTTTTGTCAGGGTTCCACTATGTAGCCCAGGCTGGCCTCAAACTCACGGTGATCCTACTGCCTCAGTCTCCAAGTGCTGGGATTTCAGGCGTGCACCACCATGCTTGGCCAAAACCTTATAAACGTGTATAATGTTTACTTAATTCTCACAACTTTGTGTTCACTCACAGAAGAGTTTGAGGCTCAAACAGGAAAAATAATTTCCTAAGATTATATAACTAAAAAATGTTAAGGAAGATAATTGAGTCCAGGTCTTTTTTAACTACACAAGGAAGACTCTTAAATAGTACCACACAAGTGACTTTTAATTTTGGATGAGATGTTACATTGGAAAAGGAGGTACAATAAATGAATGGCAGGTACTTAAGTTTAATGACTCTAGGAATGTGCAATCTTGATGTGGCTAGAAGTTTGTAGAGCGTTTGGCTGGCATAATGATTGCCAACCAAGTACTCTGGCATTTTCTGGGCAGGGGCCAGAAATGTTAGATATCCTGCATGTGTGGAAGAGTCCTTGGTGGTCTAGTACCTGCATTTGGCTTATATAAAAGCATTGCCCGCAGTTTTAGTATACACTGAACTTTGCTGTAAGGCAGTGAATCACAGCAAGCTTATACTTTTTTTTGAGGGGAGGTACTTTTCTAAGGAATATTCACCATTGTGTTAGTGTTTATCTCTGACCAAATACCTGGAAAAACAACTTAGAGGAGGAAAGACTTATTTCAGCTTACGGTTTCAGAGGTTTCAACCCATAGCCAGCTGGCTCCATGGGTTTTAGATGAGGGTGAAGCAAGAATATCATGGGGGACATAAGCTCCTTTCCTTATGGCAGCCAGGAAGTAGAGAAAGAGGGAAGGAGCCAGAGAGAAAGGGGCTGGGGACCAGAGCTCTTCCAAGGTCATGTCTCTGTGATCTGCTCCCTTCATCGAGGTCCTGTCTCTTGTTTCTGTCACCTCCCAACAATGACATCAAAGTATAATCTCATGATCTCATTGCCTTCCCAAATCCCATCCACTGAACACATAATCTTTTGGGGGGATGCTTTAGATCTAAACCAAAACAACCATCTTAGAAAACTGTCACCAGTGTTATCATTAGCATCTTATCGAGGCACAAAGCATAATAGCCTTGTATTGCTTCGCCTTTGTACCTGTTGACTTCATGGTAGTTTTATGTGTAGGCAGAAGTAAAGAGTGATATTAAATACTAATGTGTTAAGAACATCTTGGTAAATCTGTACTGAACTTCCTTACTTCCTAGTGTTCTATGCAGGACCTTTCAGGTTTTTTCACACTCAGTAACAGAAGAGTTAATGTTGTTGCTTGGGACAGGAGCTTCTGGGACCCTTCTCCAGCTTTATGGATTGTGCCAGTGCTTATGCCCACATTCATATCGGTGTGATTGTCCTCTGGGTTGAAAACATATTTTTATATATATATATATATATATATATATATATTTTTTTTTTTTTTTTTAATTTAAAAGGAAAAAGAGAAAAAAAAACAAAACAGTGCAAGGGCACAAGTAATACAGAACTACAAAAAAAACAAACAGTAAGATATCACCAGTTAATAGATTACACACTATTTTTTTTTTTTTTTTTTTTTTTTTTTTTTTGTGGTACAGTTTTTTTTTTTAATTTTATTTAAGGAGAAAAGAAAAAAAAAGCAGAGAAAGGGTACAAGTTATACAGATTTGCAGAAAAAAAAAATGAACAGTAGGAAATCACTAGTTAGTGGATTACATACTGTCATCTTAGAAATAATTGTTCAAGTCACAAAATTAAAGCTTGTAAAGTGGACAGTCCATCAATGATACTGCAAACAGTTCTGTTCAATGATCCAACAAAACTCTGTGATATCATATTCTATCTTATACACTTAAATATGCATGCAGTTATATAGTTTAGAGCACTTTCTTTTCCTCTCTTTTGTACAATGACTATTACACATTTTGGGTTTCATTGCTCTCACGGTTCTTATTACTTTTTTGGAAGAGAGTAAAACCAAATGTGACATAACAGAACAGAATCGGTCAAGTCAAAAGGGTGGACATAATAGATAATGTGAAAACATAATACAAGGTGATCAACAATGGTTACCATAATGCCTCCCGCTATCTCTAATAGAATTGCCTATATCATTAGTTATAATACAATTGAACAAAACAGTAAAGAACAAAACCGACAAAGCCAAACCATTGGAGACATTGTAGGTCTTCAAAAGTAGATAAAAGTCAACGAGAATGGGCGTTATAATGAATCTCATTATCTTCACAGCTGATGCCTAAATTTTCGAACCTGATACTATCCAGCAAAACAGAATAGGGGAACATCAGTTAAAAACCAGATGGTGAGAGTAATACAGGGCTTTAAATCGAGGTAATGGAAAGTCAAAGTGGGTTACTATAATATATCCTGCTATTTTTTTCCTTTAATTAAAAGGATAAAAAATTTTAAAAAAAGTATTAAAAAAGTAAATAATGGAGTGGAGATTGAGATAAAAGAGGGCATAACAACGAAACAGCACAGATCAAAACATAACCATTTAAGCAGAATAGTGTTTCACCACCAGATAATCCTGACCTAAAAGTAGTTACCATATTGTCTCTTTCCTTGAAATCCTTGAGTACAACTTCGTATACTGTAGCATTAAGTATATCAAAACAATGTAAAACCATTTAAGAGAATGACAGTATTACAGAGTATTTAGAATCGACTAACAGAAAATGAATAATGGTTTCTGTATAATCTCCTTGTCTTTAAAAGGTTTTTGCTTATACTATTGTACATAATAAAATCCAGTAAGATACATCCTATTTAGACCATTGGAGACAGAAGGACAAAAGCTAGATGAGACTTCAAAACAAGATGATACTAAATCAGTATTACTTATTAAGATGTCATTTTCTCCAAAATAGCTGTTCCTATCATCCAATCTTCTCTGTCTCATTTCTGTTGAGCTCTTATTCTGTCAGTAGCTGTCAGTTTGTCTTCTTCACTTTGTTCTCTGCTCCATTAGTCATGGCCTCCACTATTTCTGGATTCTTTGTATTTTTCTTTTTTTAGAATATCCTGCAATACTCTCTGTAGAGTTGAATTGGTGGTTGCAAATTCTCCCAGTTCCTCTTTATCCTGGAAGCACCTTGTTTTCCCATCAATTTCCAGGGACAGTTGTGCAGGATATCTCAATCTTGGCTGGAGATTATTATCTTTCAAAGCTTGAATTATTTCCCCCCACGCTCTTCGTGATTTGATGGTTTGTGCAGAGAAATCTGCTGTAATTCTGATGGGTGCTCCCTTGTAAGTGGTCTGTTTCTTGTCTCTGACAGCTTTTAATATTCTGTTCTTGTATTGAATTTCTGGAATTTTTATTATTATATGCCTGGGTGTTGCTCTGTTTGGGTTGTAGGTAGCTGGGGTCCTGTATGCCTCATACATCTGAGTATCTTTACCTTTTGCTAAATTAGGAAAATTCTCCTGGATTATTTCTGTGAGTAGCTTTTGTAGTTCATTTGTTTGTGTCCCTACTTCTTCTTTTATGTTCTTAATCCTTAAGTTATGGCTCCTCTTATCATCTTCTTGTCTTTGTATTATTACTGTTTGTTTCTTTGTTATTTTTAAGAAGTTTTTCATTTCATTCTCCCATAATACAATTCTGCCCTCCAGTTCAGATAGTCTGTCCTTAGTTTCTTTCAAGCTGTTATGCCAGTCTTCGATAGACTTCTTAGTTTCTTGGTAGTCCCTTTGAACCTGCTTCACGTATTCTATGCTTTCCCTGTTTTCTCCATCAAACAATTCTCCCCTCTTTTTCTGTTCTTCCATTCCACCATCTGTTTTTTCTTGGGTGGTGCTTAGCATTTCTCTAACTATTTTGCATACTTCTAGCTTCAGGTCGTTGATAACTTCATTCCTGAATTGGTCTATGAGGCTCTCTATATGGTGCTTTATGTGTATTGGTGCGGTGTCCGCTATTGCCTGTTTCTCAGAATTGGGGGCCGAGGAGCCTTTTTTGTTGCTTCCTCTTCCCATATTCTCTGTTCCTTATATATGCAAGCTTATATGAGAGGCCCAGCTTCTCTCCCTGTCAGCCACAGCCTGATCGAATTGCGCCGGTTAGGTGTTCCCACTCACCGCTGCGCACCAGGCAGCCTACGCGGGGGCCCGCCCCTCCCGGCCTCCGTCAGGCTCTGCGATCTGGGTTGGGCCAGCCTACGGGGTCCGCCGGCAGCGTCACGCAGGCCAGGCACTTTTCACCAATCCCGCCCGAGAGGGGAATGTGTGGCTGGAGTCGCCAGCGTGCCCTGCTCCCGCAGGACTGCTCGGGCCCAGAAAGTCCGCTGGAGTCAAACTGTGGTGGAGTGTCAGTTTCTCTCACTCACCTTGCCACAAGTCAGAACATGCCTCCCTGCCCGTCCTGTTTTCGACTCCGTTCGCAGACTCACGTTCTCAGAGTTTCCGCGCGTCTCTCTCCTTGCCGAGCTGATGTAGATGTAGCCGCCACGCAGCGGGAAACCCAAATCGCGGCTTCCAATGGCGCAGGGTCCAGCCTCAGCAGCGAGACTTTTCTGTTCCTGTTTTAGCACCAGGACTGCATTCCAAGTTGGTTTCTCTCAGCCGAGTTCGTTCCTGAGTCAGCAGAGCATAACTCCACCTGCTTATGTCTCCTTAGTCCGCACCATACCTGGCTTCTGAGCCTAGTTTTTCAGAGAGCCTCCGGTAGTTGCTATTATCTGTCCGCCATGTTCTCCCGGAACTACACACTATTATTTTTGAAACAGTTATTCAGGTCACAGGATCAAAGCATGCAAAGTGAACATTCAAACAGTGAGACTGCAAATAGTTGTGTTCAATGATCCAAACAAAAATATTAATATGGTCATCTATTTAACACACCTAAGCATGCTTGCTGTTGTATCCTTTAGGGCACTTGAAAACGTATTTTTAAAGGTCATCTAGTATAATAAGGGATGAGATAGTTACATATTTTATTAAAATTATTTTTTTGTCCTCATGTTACAGTTAAGGCATATATTGTAGGGATGCCTGTTGGTCAAAGTGTGTCTCTAACAGCTTATGCTATTAATGAATTTCATTTTAAAATAGAAAACAAGTGTTTTAACTGAATCCATGAAAGGGGGAGGTGGGTGTTGAGTTGAGAATTAGTGAGTCAATCAAGGAGGCTTTACCAGAGTTTATTCTTTATCCTTTGTACTTCAGGACCACCTATTGCTACTGTGAATTAGTCATAGAGTCAGTGTCATTTCAGTAGTAGAAATGAAACCATCAGTAATGCATGTTAAATTTGGAGTTGTGTTATAAGTGACATTGATTCAGGTGGTTTTTATTTCACTTAGCAATCATGATAAAATGTTTCAACTAATTTTTTTATGCATAGTGATCTAATCTCACTTTCTTTTTTATTCTTCTAACAGATTTTATGTAGTGTCAACATTTGTATGTGACTTAATTATTTGGCAATAAACTGGAATGTACCATAGGAAATTCTCCATCAGTAAATTTCATTCATTTTATTTAAGTGGGTTTCGGGTGTTAATATCATTTATGACCTTGAAATTTCCCTCTTTGGTATCATCAATCTACCTACAGTAAATGAAGGTTTATTGTGTGAAAGAGTCAAAGTCTGAGTTGGACAAATATGTATTAAATGTATTAGTAGGGAATGGGAGTTCCCTCTCCCTGTATTAAATTGGTTTCTTCTTTTCCAGAGATGTCTAATGCAAAAGAAAGAAAGCATGCTAAGAAAATGAGAAACCAGCCCACAAATGTGACCCTATCCTCTGGCTTTGTGGCTGATAGAAGTGGAAAGCACTATAACGGAGAGGGGAGACCTTTCCAAGCTCAAAAACAAGGTAAGATATACACAATGTTCGCCGCTTTCATTGAGGTTTGATTGCTTTGGGCAGCTGCTTTTGACAGTAGTTGTCATCTAAGTAGCAAATGAGCCAAATTAACAAATAGAGTCTGCTGTTTAATAGTCTCAAATGATCTACTTGCAAATTTGCCTGCTGGCTAAAGTTTATTTGTGAACCCCAAATCAACTGTCAGTGGAGGTTTGGTGGTCTTTTCTGAGATGCAAAGCAGAATAAGATTTGACTTACGTCGTAAGTAAGTTGCAGGTGCTGCCTTATTTCAGTGGTTGTGCAGTCGAGGCCAGAGGTGGAGACAGCAGAAGGCACAGGAAGCTCTGGCTCTGCCTCGCTTGAGTCTTACCACGGGGCGGCTCATGGAGCTCACCTGATGCTTCTGAACTTTATGTTCTCTTTTGTAAAATAAAGGAGATGCAAACTACCAGTTGTTCACTGGGGCAGCAATAGAAAAATGCCAGTTTTGGAAAACAGCAAAAGCAGGTGACCTGCTATGAAGAACAGTGTGTATTGGGGCTGCATAAATAATTTGAGAGTTAAATGCTTAAGATCTAGATTCTGATCCAGTAACTTGAGGACTACCTTGACATGCTATAAGCTCTTATTTAAACATTACGATGACAAACTTTGTAACATTCCAGGTTATTGTGGCTTATTAAAATAAGCAGACATACCATAAAATTCTGTACTGACCTTTCCTCTGTTCACAGACAAGTGTCTGATGTTACCTTAAATTCAGAGTCGTTTAGATGCCTAGGCATTTGTGTAGCAACTTTGCTTTTCATTCCTTCCTTAAAAGTGTCTTCTGTTAGGATAAGACTGAGTACACAAAAGCATGTGTACTTGATTGTCACGTTTAAGAGCATGTTATTCAGGTTAGTATAACAACCTACCATACACTAGGTAGCTTCAAAATAACAAGTATATTTTTCACAGTTCTGGAGGTCAAACAGTCCCAAGATCCAGCAGCAGATTCAATGTCTGGTTCACAGGTGCACCTTTCCCTGTCCTCGCATGGTGGAGGGGTGAGGGATCTCTCTGGAGCCTCATTTATAAAAGACATTATATCTTATTCAGGAGGCTCTGTTCCCAATATATTATTATCACCTCCCAAAGGCTCCACCTCCTCATACTACCACCTTGGTGGTTAAATTTCAGCATGTGAATTTGGGTGTGTGTTGGGGGGGGGGCATTAACATTCAGACCATAGCAAAGAACCTAGCAACAATTTCATGTTGACTGCAAGTGTGCAATGTATCTCTTCTAGCCAAGGTTCTTTATGTGTGTCATAATGTCATGATTAGCTCTGTGACCTGGGTCAAGGCATTTCAGTTTCCTAGTCGAGATCTTTCCTCTTATAAAAGAGATAGTAATAACCACTTTAAAGGTTGTTGTGAGATTAAAAACGTAATGTTGCAACCCAGCAGATGTTAGTTGTCCCCTATAATCCTTATCTGTGGTAAGGATATCCTGGTGAGGATGACTTGCTTCTTTTTGTTTTCTTTTTGAAAATGCTCTAGAACCTCATTCTGGAACTTCACGACAGCGGCAAACCAAGCTGACGTCCCATTCACTGCCTGAGCCTGATGCAAATGAACCATCTTCCTCCAAACTCATGTTTAAAAAAAAGGGAGGCTGGAAAGCAGGTCCCGATGGGGCTTCTCAGGAGATTCCCAAGTATATAACTGGTTCGTATGGGTGAGGAGATGCAGTCTGATTTTATTGTGTGCTCTTTTTTTAATTTTCTTTTTAGTACAGCCAGATATAAATTACACTCTGCAGTGTCCTAGTATTGTAGTTCTTGTCTTGCTCCTTTATTCCATCTACTTGGGCCCCCGCACCTAGCCTAGACTTTGGCCGTAACCTCCTTAGGCCTGATGCTCTTCCTTTTTCAATTTCTCTCTTTTCTGTTACCCATCTTTTAAATCTTTATTTGTGAACCTAACCGTGAGCTCCCATCTCATCCCTCTGTAATGTTCCACCCACACTCACTGTGGTGGCATTCTCCAAAGATGGAAGCAAATTTAACACACTTTATTTGCAACCGAGACCTTTGTTTAAAAGCCTTTTGCCAGGTCCTCCTTCCATTCTCATGTCCTGTCGCCCCTTCATCACTTCCATCTCCTCTGCCGCATAAACCTTACATTCCGTGCACATCCTGTTTATATACCTTCTGGCCTCTGCATGCCTTGGACAGATTCACCTATATTTCCCTGGCTCTCTGTTTACTACTTAAAAAAGAATCTGTTTTTCAATAAAGAGAACCAACAATTTAATTGCGTGTTTGGAAGAAGCAGAAAATATTAAGCAACAAATCTTTGAGCCAAAACTATAGTTAAACATTTTCTCTGTATGGTTATTGCACTTAAAAAAGATTGTGATTATCTTGCACGTATATACAGAATCTGCCAAAATTGTATACATTTTAGGAAAAGAAAAACTTGCATAAATATTTTAATACCTAATTTATTAAGCCATCATAAGATTAATACAGGTTACCTTTGCCCTCTACAAGATGTATTCAAAGTGGTAGCTCTTAGCATCCAGATATTTCTTCGTATGGCAAGCTGCTACCTAGGTAACCTCGGTCACTGTGCACTGAGATTGCTGCACACATTTTCAAATTTTTGAAGGCCATTGAAACACATTTTCAATTTCTGCTCTAAGGGCTGGCAGTGTAGTGGGTTTTCTGTGATACGTGATATCCTTTAGGGTCTCCTATAGATGAAAGTCTACAGGTGTTACATCAGGAATATTAAAATATTTACATAAATTTCTTCCTGAAGTATGTATATATTTTGGTGGACTCTGTATATTGTATGGTGATCCTTGTTTTTAAGACTGCTTATAAAGTTTTTTTTTAAGCTTTTTGTCGATTAGAAAAGTAAAACAATAGGAAAAATAAAGCAAGAGGAAATTTATCAAATATAAATGTTTAAGGAGCATTTTCTCACAAAGGTGTGGTACAGAAATAACCTCTGGCGGGGTTTATCTGACAGGGCTTAGGGTGGTGGGTGTCCATAAGCTCACAAACCTCCAATCCAGCTTCCTGCTGGAGTCCACTGGAGAAGGTGCTGATTTAAGGCTTGGTTTCCACCGTGTCATTTCCTTCAACAGCTTCTACCTTCGCTCAAGCACGAGCTGCTGAAATAAGTGCTATGTTAAAGGCTGTGACCCAGAAGTCTTCCAATTCCCTGGTTTTCCAGACTCTGCCACGGCACATGAGGCGGAGGGCCATGAGCCACAACGTCAAACGCCTTCCCAGACGGCTGCAAGAGATGGCCCAGAAGGAGGTGGGAGTTCCACTTGGTAGAATGCTTAGATTGGTAGTTCCTGGAAGAAACTGAGCAACACTCACTTAAAAGACTTTTTAAAAAGGAAAATCAGAAAGCAATGTACTCATTTATGTTTTAAATTTTTGATTGAATCGTTATCTAGCCCTCCCCATACTCCTTAAGCCATATTAGTAGGCATTTGGATATTAAAGAGTAGCATTGGAACTCCTCGCTTTTAATGATGTGAAATAGTTGATGTTTTTCTTCCTAGATTTAAAGTAAAATTCTGACCTTTTTATCAGATTAGCATTTTGCTTCTGTAAAGGCAATATCAATGCTTAGTATTTACCATATGACTTTGTTGAAGTTGAAAGCTTGAACTTATATTTAATTTTTGTGCAGTCTACGTGTGGTTTAGCAGAGCCAAAATACTGGACTGGAACATTGTAATATTGTGTAAATGACCCATGTCTTTACTAATTCAAAATTTATTGAATGGCTTTCAGTGTACCAGCGCTGTGCTAGGGGTAGAGTTAGAATTCAGGGAGATGAAGTCCCTGTCCTTACAATGCTCACTATTTTTTTGGGAGGAGGATCTTTTTGAGACAGGTCTCACTATGCAGTTCAGGTTGGCCTTGGCCTCCCTGTAGCCCAGGTTGGCCTCAAGCTTGCAGCAGTCCTCTCTCAGCCTCCTGAATGCTGGGATTACAGGTGTGCACCACCACACCCAGACTAACATAACATTTTTTTCACTAAAGTATAGCTTGATTATGGGAGATTTACAAATGAAATCTAACCAGGAATTTTATGTTTTCTAGATTTAATATAAGGTCTTTTTGTTGTTGTTATTGGTTTTTTTTGGAACTGAGGATCGAACTCACAACCTTTCACTTGCTTGCCAGGCAGGCGCTTATGCCACTGAGCTAAATCCCTAGCTCCTTTGTTTGTTTTTGTCTTTTAAAGACCAGGTTTCACTATATCAAGGTCTGTTTTCTAGTGATAGCATTTAGCATTGTCTGTCTGCTGTTTAAGTTAATTGAATTAATTGCATTTTCTTTACTTCTGTATTTTGTTCTTAAGCTCTTGGTTGTAGTTACAGTCCTGTAGGTTAAAGCAAGAAGCAGTAGCAGCAGGGAGCATTCAACTTTCTCTTTCTTGTCCTCTGTAAATAGCCATGTTAAGCTTGTGTAACTGTTGAAGTTTCATAAATATCCCAGTCTTCACAGAAAATGAAGCATACCTATTTTAGTAAGTGATAAATGTTTAGTAAGTGATAAATTACTAAGATCACCTATCTAAAGTTTTACTCTTTCCATTGTCTGCATTCTCCATTTACATTTGAGAAACCAGCAAATTAACAAATTAAGCAAATTAATGGGATCTATACTTAATTCTAAAGTGACTTGTTTGATTTCCTAACATTTAACCCGGTTCTGAGATGCTTACAAACTAAAATATACCTCTCTTCTTGTAACTATAGGCAGAGAAGGCTGTGCATCAGAAAAAAGAACATTCCAAAAATAAATGCCATAAAGCTCGAAGATGTCACATAAACCGGACACAAGAATTTAACCGGAGACAAAAGAAGAACATCTGGTTAGAAACTCACATCTGGCATGCCAAACGGTTTCACATGGTGAAGAGGTGGGGCTATTGCCTTGGGGAGAGACCCACCCTCAAGAGCCACAGAGCTTGCTACCGAGCCATGACACACCGCTGCCTCCTTCAGGTACACTTCTCCAGTGGGCTTTCTTTTTGTGTGTAGGCCTTTCCAGTGTTCAACTTTAGAAAGTTCATGGTATGCCAGCATCCTGTCTGTGAGGTTGTCCATCTTATAAGCGATGCCTGTGGCACTTTGCTGGGTGCTGCAGATGAAGCAACCTAAAGCTGGTGCGAGAGGTTGACAGTAATCAAACTGGTCAGGGGTACGGCTGAGAGGGAAAAGTATGCAGTGCAGTGAATGTTCCTTATGGGAACTGGAGGGCGTCTGGGACGTAGGAGCTGAGCTTTAAGGAATAAGATGGGAGAGTGAGGGATGCAAAAGGAAGGGGATGAGAGTGAAGAATTAGAGAAGGTGCTTTGTGACAGCGGTGGACAGACTGAGAGCAAGGCCACTATCGGGTGAAATTAGATTGGAGGCCTGAGTAGAATCGGCTCACGCAGGCTCCTGTTGTCAGGTGAAGACTTACTCAGTGAAGATTAATCAAGTCATTGTTCGTCAGCAGCAGATAACGAGATGCCTTGTTCAGTGCTCATAGTTCTGGTCTAGGTGTGTATGATTCAGTGTTGTCCTGGGAAGTGTGGTTTAAATTTTAAACTTTTTGAGAGGAGGTTGTTTTTGAGCCTCATGCAGTTTTATCAGCAGTGGCTAATGCAACTGCTTTTTCTGTGTTGTAATACGTACTTAGAAATTTACTCCTTGCAGAATGCTGTGTCAATGGCATGATGGCCTTGGCCAAATTTTGAAAGCCATTGATATTGGTGTCTTCTGATACCTCTTGAGAGCAATATAGCAGAACACAAAAGCCTTTTCTAGAAAATTGTGGGAAAATAGGCATGATACAGAATTACCTTTGAAGCATTAGCGATTTTTAATTCAACGGTTCTTTGGTACTCAGCACACTGGGGCTGTGCAGCTAATGCCATCATCCATTTCTGAAACTTCTGACTTTCCTAACTAAATTCTGTATGTAGTAGACAAATTCCCTACTCCTTCCTCCCCTAGTCCCTGGCAACTACTATTCTACTTTTTGTCTTTTAATTGGACTCCTTTTGATACTTGCATGAGTGGTGTCATACAATATTTGTCCTTTTATGTTGGGTTTATTTCACTTAGCATCATGTCTTTGACGTTTATCCATGCCATAGCTTGTATCAGAATTTCCTTCCTTTTTTTTTTTTTTTGGTCTTTTTGAGATAGGGTCTCACTATGCAGTTCAGGCTGGCTTTGAGCTCACTTTATAGCTCAGGCTGGTCTCGAACTTGCAGCGATCCTCCTACCTCACTCTCCCGAGTGCTGGGATTACAGGTGTGAGCCACCATGCCTGGCAGTGATTTTTTTTTTTCTTTTCTTTTCTTTTTTGTACCAGGGATCAAACTCATGACCTTGTACATGCCAGGCAGGCACTTAAGCTGCTGAGCTAAATCTCTAGCCCATCTTCCTTTTTAAGGCTGAATAATATTCTGATGTATGCATAATTATTTGTCTCTTTGTCTGTAATGGACAGTAAGTTGCTTCTATCTTTCGGTTGTGAATAATGTCTAAGGACAAAAATGCTACAATTAATATTTGAGTGCCTGCTTTCAGCTGCTGTAAATGTGTACTAACAAGTAGAATTGCTGGGTCATAGGATCGTAGTGTGTTTAATGTTTTGAGGTATCATCCTATCATTTTCCATAGCAACTGTATCATTTTACATTTCCACAAGGGTTCCAATTTCACCATTCCCTTGTCAACACGTGTTATTTTCTGCTTTTTTGGTGATGGCCATTTTAATCAATGTAAAGTGAATGCAGGAACCTTCTGAGAGCCTTTGATTTGCAAATTCTGCAGCAGAAATCATAAGTATGATCACTGCCTCATTTACGTTGAGGAAGCTGAGTGTGAGAGAGAAGTGACCTGCCCAGCTTGTTGGTGGCCTTGATAGCTGTGCTTTTCCTGCTGTACTCTCTACCTTTCAAGTTTAAGACAGTTGTTTCAGAATGTATTATGTCTCTTTTGGGGCACCATGGCTGATGGGAACAAATACTTAGGAAGGCTTCATATATGCCCAGCCCTGTTTTATATACTTCACATTTAGCTCATTTAATCTGTGCATCAGCAGCACAAGATAGGCAGTTTCCATTATTTGCATTTTACACAAGAGGAACCTGAGGTTTACCGACAGCCAGTGAACGGTGAAGCTGACTCCAGAGTTTCACACCCAACCATTTTTCTCTGTGTCACCTAGTTATACCCATTTGGGTGAGATTCATCTGGCCACTGTTAACTGAAAGCGAGTACTGTAAGTAGGAAGATGTCTGTGTGTTAGTAATGGCACTGGTTGATCTGAATTTGTCAGAATCTTGGCCAACTTTGCCTTTAGTTCCAGCTGCTTAAAGGTGTGCCTAAGAGATTGGTTTGGGGTTAGAGAGCCCGATTTATTGCGTGTGCCATTTGACTGTATGACTTTGCACAAACAGCCACCTCTGTGCCTGTGTTCTCATCTGTGAAATGATGATGGGCCCTGCTTTGTTAGGTGGTGATCTGGAAGAGTCAGTGAGTTTTGAAGGGAAATAAATTAGCCTAGTGCTGGACGCTCAGTAACCCCTCAGTGACTGAACGATTGTTACGGTTCTTTATGATACTGATCTTGGGACTTAGTTCAGTTTCACTTCATTATAGTTAAACTGGTAAATTATTTCTCTCATTACCCTTACTTTTCCTTGTACAGTGCTTTGTTAAAGTTGCCTGTTCTGGGGAAGACTCAGTTTAGGGAGAAAGGGGGAACTGTAATTCATTGTAACGTGGTGTCTCTAGGCTCAGTGTTACATAATCGAGAGGTTGTGTACTGGCTAGCCAGAGAGAGCGGCATAGTGTAATTTGCAGAGTGGATTACTTACTGTCTTGCTTACTCTACTCTGTTTTTATATCTTATGGAGATTTTGGGGAATGAATAGTCATTTGCTTAAAAGCAGCAGTGTTTTGTTTTGTTTTTTTTTTTTTTTTGGTACTGGGGGTTGAACTCACAACCTCATGGTCACCAGGCAAGTGCTTATGCTAAGCTAAATCCCTGGCCAAAAGCAGCAGTTCTTGTAGCCTACTTTGAACTTGCCTCTGAATATGGGAGAAAACAGATTTCCTTTCTTGAAAGGGGGACATATATTTAAATGAAGATTCATTTTTCATATTTTTCTGTTGGTTTAAGAATATTTGCTAATGTAATGCCAGATTTTGACATTGAAAAACTTAACTTTGGTAATTTGTTCTTTAGTCCCCCCCCAGAGGTTTTCTGATGGGGCTTTTGGCTTCTTGGTGCCCTATGTAACTTTAAAGAATATAATTGTGTTTCCTCTTGGTGCAGGATTTATCCTATTACTGCTGTTTGGAGTTGAAGGGTAAAGAAGAAGAAATACTCAAGGCACTTTCTCAGATGTGTAGCTTAGATGCAGGTAATCTTGTTTCAAAACTGGATCTTGTTTTAGTCTTTGTATATTATTCGTTTTATGAATGAGTGACTGGTATAGGCATTTTGAAATTAAAGATAAAACTGCTTTTTCCCAATGATTGTACCCATTTAAGAAGAGTTGAGAGTGTGGTTGTACACAATTGTAATCCAGCACTCAGGAGGCTGGGGCAGAAGGATCACTGTGAGTTCTAGGCCATCCTGAGCTACACAGTAAGACCTTGTCTCAAAAAAAAAAAAAAAAAAAGAAAGAAAGAAAGAAAAATTGAGATGCCCGTTAGGTCTATAACATTGTGAGGTGTAAAGTGAAGGAGTCATTTTGATGGAGTGATCTTAAGTTTTAGTTTTTTACAGAAATTCATTAAATCACTCATTTGATATGTATTTATTGAGAACTTAACTATGTACCAGGCTTTCATCTAAGCCATAAGCAAAACCAAAATTTCATTCCTCCTGGAGATGGTAAAGAGCAGTGTGGTTGGGAGGAAATAGTATTCCTGTGCCGACACTGGAGATCAGAGCATTTTGCTTGTGTTATGGCAGGCCTGACCTTCGCAGCAGTTCACTGCTTGTCTGGAAAGCGCCAGGGCAGTGTGGTGCTCTACCGGGCAAATAAATATCCCAGAGAAATGCTTGGGCCCGTTACGTTTATTTGGAAGCCAGAGGGGACCCCTAGTGGCACTTCCGGGAGCAGGCAGTTGTGGATTTGGCTTCATCCAACTGTTAAACAGGTATGATCCTTTATATCATTTCTCCATCATTCTGTTTTTAATTACCACCAGAAGGGAGCATTACTGAAATTTAAATGCAGTAGTATAAAAGTTTAGTTGACAGTTGGTATTAGAATATAATGGGGGAAGTTGTGTGAATATTGAATGAAGCAGGTTCTTTTTTAAATCTTCAAATTTTTATTCAGAAATATTTCAGTGACAAAACATACAGTTGTTCAAGGTGTTCAAGCATAATGCGTGATGCATGTGTACATTATGTAATGATTACCACATCAAATAACAGATCCATTACTACCCACGTAATATATTTGGCCATCTTACAGAATGAGGCAAATCTTGACCTCTCATTTTTCTGTGAACTGTGAGGAGTAGCAGAGATGAAAACCATCCTTACTTCCTTCTCTCTTGCTTGAATTTGTTTACTGATGCCTAGGTGCTTCTGACAACCTCTTTTTTGGGGGTACTGGGACTTGAACTCATGACCTTGCACTTACCAGGCAGGTACGATGCTGCAAAGCTGTATCCCTAGACCTGTGACAGTCTATTTGATAGAGAGGCCTTGGTAATTCTGATGAATTTTAATTCTGCGTTTAGCTTAGTTTATCCTTTTTAGCATTGTTTTTATACCAGAGGCTATACATTTTTTGCAATTTTTTTTTGCAATTTTTTTTTTAATTTGGTCATAATGGTCATATTGTTTTCGAATATTTTGATATTTGGTTCTTTTTTAGTTCCAAGTGCTGTACAATATCTATAAAAAACAAAGCTTTTTTTGTTTGTTTTTTGAGACGGTGACGCACTATGTCATTCAGGCTGGCCTTGAACTCAGTTTGTAGTTCAGGCTGGCAGCAAGTTCATGGTGATTCTCCTGCCTCAGCCTCCCAAGTGCTGGGATTACAGGCATGAGCCATGACGCCTGCACAAAAAGCCTTTGGGTGGTGAGAAATACAATTTAATTTTTGAAGGGATAAAGATGTGAAAAATAATTTTTTTAAAGCAGTGCTGTGGGTGCATTCAGGGCCTCCAGCATACAAGGCACGTGCTCACTAAGCTACATTCCTAGCCCCCAAAATATTAATTCTTTTTTTTCAAAATGTTAATTTTTTAAAGGGGTAAAATATAAACTAAATCAGTGAAACTTGTAATAATGTATTTACATTTCAAAATTTAAAAATAAATGTGTTCTATATCCTTAGGATATCTTAGAGGAGTTAAAAACTGTGTGCCAGTGTTTGGAACCCGTCAGATCACCTGTGAGCATCCCTAGCCCACTTCCAACACTGTCTCAAGAAAAAAGCCAAACTGAAATGACTGATGAAAAAATTGGCAAGAAAAGAAAAAGAAAAGATGATGAAGAAAATGCTAAACCAATTAAAAAAATCATTGGTGATGGAACTAGAGATCCATGTCAGCCATGTTCTTGGATCTCTCCAAACACAGGCATTATAATCAGGTCTGATTTGAATTCACTCTGAACCTGCTGAACATTTTCAGTAAAGACCTCATTTTTGTCAGTGGCACAGATGCTGCACGTGATGGAAGTTTCCATCATAAGATCTTTTCTGTCTTCCAGCGATTTGACCATGGAGATGAATAGATTCCGGCTTATTGGTCCCCTTTCCCACTCTATCCTAACAGAGGCGCTAAAAACTGCTTCTGTCCACATGGTAAGAGTACAAGTGTATTAGCATCTTCGTGCAAGTTTCTGAATTCTAATATGTACTGTGATATGATAATATTTTGGGCCATGGCTCTTAAATATTTATTTCCTTACTTTTTTATCAAAGAATTTATCTCTCACTTTTAGAAAACCAAATCTAAGAGAATGTGATAAGTAAACTGACTTTTTATGGACATACCAACTCTTCTTGTAGTTGTGTCTTCTAGAAGAGAGTTAACCTGTACCCCATAGGTGGGTGATAGACTGTCTCTGAAATTCCTAAAATTGTATGCCAGCTTTTGAATGTTTGACTTGAGTGATGCATATTTTCTGGGGCTGGTTTCTGTCATGCCCCAAAGGGTAAGAGCAGTAAGTATGTCCATGTCTGATACAGGTTTTTGCAAGCATGATGGTCCTTTTTGTTTCTCAGTATGGTTGCCATGAGCCATGCGATGCCACCAAACACTTGAAAAGTGACTGGGGAGCGGGAGGGAATGTGTATCTTCACTGTCTTAATTAAGTAAATATTATGGTAAATGCTTCTTTGGCCTGTGGCTTGACCACAGCACAGCCATATGGCATAGAGACTAGATTAGGATTCGCCCATCTTGAGTTCAGGGCCTGTGTGTTTTCCTGTCTTAGCAGTTAACTTCTCAGGGCTTGTGCCTCACAGATCTAATGTGGTCAACTATAATGACAGAGTTGAATGGATTTGAGCTTTTAGAAAAAAGATATTTTAGAAACAGAAGTGGCTTCTCCATTTGCTCTTACACCGTTGTTGCCTCTGGCAGCAATACTAGAGGAGCTTCATAGCTTCTCCTTATGGAGACTTGTGGTGTATTTACCCAAAGCCCTAATGTGCCCTGAGCAACTTGGGACCTTCTTGACTTTGTGACTTTGTCTCTCCTCCCCTTCTGCGCTTCAGTGAACACTGGCCTTCCAGGTCTTGGACGCATCGCTTCTCATCTCCCTCAGAGCCTTCGCTCCTGTTTTTCTCCCACTTGCTGGACATTCTCCATTCTGCTTGGCTAGACCTTCCTCCTTCCAGTTCCAGTCTGCCTCATTCAATCTGTGTCACTTTCCTGATCGGTCAGGTTACAGCATCCCTTCTTCTGTGCTGTGCACATTTCCCTTCCCATTTGGACATGTCATGCATTTGTGCAGTGTGAGCCTGTCCTGTTAGACTGTGAGTGTCATGACAGCAAGGGCATCTTGACTGTGTCTCCAGTGTGCCCCATGGCACCTGGCCGAAGGTGGTGCACGGTAGCTCACAGGCTGTGGACTAGCGATTTGAATCTAGCTTGGTTCTCGAGAGCCCTCTGCTTTGCTCAAGTTCTGTGAGGTGAACAGCGCCTCTCCTGTGAGCTGCACAGTGAATCCTGGCTGTCGGTCCTCTGGGCTTGGCATGTGCCCACGGCTTGAACTACTTTTGAAGCCTTGCTCAACTTCTATTCTGTTGGGAAAAGGTATAAGTGGAGTGCCCGTGCATCTTAGTAATACTGTTAAGAGTACTCTAGTAGTGACATGGCCCTTACCTGAAGATATCTTCTAAGGGTACTGGTGCGGTTGCCCCTGGAGACAGTGAAGGTGGTGACAGTAGCAGTGGACCAAGGACTTTCTTGTTGGAACTGTGCTCGAGAGAGACTGAGGTGTGAGGTGGCTTAATTAGGTAGTCTTTTTGAAAATCAGGGCTATCTTTCCTAGCATGTGAAATCTGGGCAGAAATTTGTGACACTGCATTCCTACCTCTAATTAAAATAATACTTAGTCTCATAGTAATTACTACTTTAACTATGCTGCTCTTCATAAAACTGAATTCCCACAAACAGAGACAGAAGGAGTTGCTGCTGACACTGCAGCCATGCCACTATTAAATCTGATTCATCACGCACCGGGTGAAGAGCACTTCTTTGCTTTTTAGGGGGAAGAGGACACAGAGGAGACGCCTCACCGTTGGTGGATGGACGCCTGTAGGAGCACCGAAAGTGTTTCCCTTCATCGCAAACAGGAAGCCATTTTTGAGTTGTTGGGAGGTACACAGAGGGAGTTCTGGTTGTACTAGGCGGGAAGGGGAGGGAGGAACATGGGTTACGAGAGTTTGCTGTGGGTTCCTGGTAAGTAGTCTTGTTCTTACCTTACTGTGGTTTGTTATGATACAGCAAGAAAAGCAAGTAAGAGGTACCTGAAATCAGTTAATAAGACATTGTATTCATGTTTGTTTATGAAATAACACACCATGGCGATGTTAATATTCTAAATATCTGGCATTCTGATATAGGTAAATATATAGATCAGGTACTGACCTAAAACCTAAACCTAAGTCTCCTGGTTATTTTGTGGCTGTAACAGTTAATAGTTATTACTGATAGAAGTATACATGCTCGCATTGTGAAATAACTTCTTTCTTATTAGTTTAATTTGTTTTTGCAAGAAACATCCCTGTTTTGAATTTTAATTCTCTAAAAGTCTCAATGAGGAATAAAAAGAGATGTTTTTAAATAATTATCCCAGAGGAAATTTTTCATTAGAAAATCTGAAAGCTAGGAAAACATGTATGTATTGTGAGGGACTTGCTGTGAGCTTTCTTTCCCCCTTTGTTTTGTTAAAGGAATAACATCCCCAGCAGAAATTGCAGCAGGTACTATTCTGGGACTCACGGTGGGGGATCCTCGAATAAACTTGCCTCAGAAGCAATCTAAAGCTTTGTCCAGCCCAGAAAAATGCCAAGGTAAAGCACTTACACCTGTGGTTTTCCTTATTATATTGATCATTCCAGTTTTGTTAGGAGAATTTTGTCTCTTACACTTTGGCAGTGACTTCTACCTGTGAAAAATCAGGGATTGTTAGCTGTCTCTTTCCAGGTGATTACAATCAGAGGACATGGTGTGTGTGGCAGTATCTTGTAGGCACAAACCATGTAGCTGGATCTTTATGTTTGCTTACCTATTTTCTGAGTTCTCTGTTTTTTAATATCCAGTAAAACCTGTCTGCAAATTGTATCTCTGACAATGTCCGATGTTTCAGAATGTTAATAGTGAGGAAGGGATCTGCACCCGCAGCTGGTCTTGTGCTCATTGGAAGCCTCTGTCTGACCATACAGATGATCCAGGTTCGAATCCTGGCAAGGCCATCGCAGGTGCTGGAATGTTAGATGTCTGGGCTTTGACTGGAGGGGGCCTGAGACAGCTGTGTGGCTGGGGGTGGTGAGCTGGGATTTGTAGTGGTTGTGATAATGCCTCATTGTATTTGCTGTCCTATTAGATAGCACATTAAGTAGCATATAGGGGGGCAATAAGTTACTGTCAGAGCTTCACATAAAAGGTGGATATGGTGAAAGAGGACTCTGAAGGTACATAGGTAAGTTAGTGAATTCTGCAGCCTAAGGTTCTAATCAATGAGTTATTTTCTTTTTTTAATGCCAATATTGTTTAGTACAACCATAAAATTTGTAATGTCTTCTATGCCATTAAATGCCAACTATCTTAATTGTCTTAAAACTAGTTAAACTCTATTATAGTTTCTCGTGTTACCTCAAATTCTTTTCTGGAACGAAACAGTATATAGTAAATCTTTTCTAAGGCTTTTATCTTACTATGAATCAGTTTAAGAAAAAGTAAACTGTTTTGAAAACTGTGATTTAATTTCCATTATGAAAGCTTACTGTCTTGTTAGCTGTTACTGTGTTAATGCATTAAAAGGTTTTTCTGGCAGGGCAGGGTGGGGCAAGGTTGGAGAGTCAAATCCAGGACGTACATGAATGCTAGGCAAGCACTCTGCCACTGAGTTAAACCCCAAACCCAACCCTGTTTTAAATATTGTCATTTTGTTGCAGATGTATTTTATCTGGTTATAAGAGATTACATAAAGATGTATACTTTTTAAGGAATTAGCTCTGTATTATTAATATTATTAACAAGTGTAATATCCTGGAAGATAAGTCCAAGACTAAGGATAGAGCTGGGCCCCATGATACACGCTTTGGGAGGATAAGGCAAGAAGATGACAAGTGAATATTGATTCCAACCTGACCAACTTAATGAGACTGTCTCAAAATAAAAAATAAAAGGAGCTGGGGATGTAGCATGGCACTAGAATGCCTGTGCAGCCTGTGAGAGGCCCTGGGGTCCGTTTCCAGTTCTCAGAAATACCAAAAACCCAAAGGGTGGACGTATACTTTGGTGGGTAGGATCCATTAGAAGAATTAATTACATGAAAATGATGTAAAGACCTTATTCTCTGAAATGATTATGTATGTTCTCAAACTTCAAAAAGTTTGCTTGATCATTTGGTTTTGAGGTTTGAATTAAATATTTATAATGTGTTTTCACAAATATTTTTAAGTTCAGTAGCACAGCATTTCATTATGTAATTAACTGGCTTTCTAGGTGAGACTTAAAAATACATATCTGGGGCTGAGTTTGGGTTTGGAATTCAGTGGTAGTGAGCTTGTCTGGCATGTATGAGGCCCTGGTAAACAAAAGCAAAAACCAGAAAAGCACCCAGCAAAACATTCACCAAACACTCAAATCTGTACTGTACTGTGTTATCTTAATTGCTTTCTGTGGTGTTGTCGATTTGCTCTAATAGGGTATTTTAACTAATCCTTGTCTGCCAGGAAGGAGTGTGTCTAATACTGGATATGAAGATTAGCTCAGCAATAGTCACCTGCTTAAGCCCAAGACCTGATTTCAATTCCTGTGTCAGCGCTCCTCAAAAATAAAAAGAAAGGAAAGGAAGAAAAAATACTGAAATTATACTGTGCTCATGAACTTTTTTCATCATCTTTCTCCATAAACACTCTAGCTATATGGCATGTGATACTCCCCAAAGCATGGGAAGAGTCTGTTTGTCTTCAGAGTGGTATTTACTTTTAATAAGTCTTGCAAGCAAGCACTTTTAGATCACAGTATTACAGATGTCTTCCGGGAGTGCCCAGTTAATGGTCATCTTGCCATAATTTCTTTGTTTCTGCTCTTGGAATTAAAAAACAGTAATAGCTTTGAGCAGGCACCTTTAACCCAGCTGCATATTTGTAAAACAGAGTGAATTTGAAGGCTGCAGCTTCCCTCTGGGCCAACGGTGACAGCTCCTGATCTTTTTACTGCTCTGTAGTTGTCCAGAGTGTCAGATAGAGGGAGTCACAGGATTTGTAGCTTTTTCAGATTGGCTTCTTGCTCTTTAATATGCCCGAAGGTTCCTCCATGAATTTTTATGACTTGACAGTTCATTTCTTTTCAGCGCTGAACAGTATCCCCTCATCTAGAATATTTACAGATGAGGCAGTGCTGTCCTGTGCTTCACCCTCAATGTGTCAGTCATTTGTTTGGTGTGCAGCTCCATCTGAATAATTCCCCAAGTCTGTCACTCTGATCTGCAGCAGTGCTCCATAGGAGAGCACTGCGGATAGACCAGGGCTGGTGGGATGAAGCTTGTGGCTTGCTCTTAGATGCTATGAATCTTGGTACGCCCAGCACTGGTGCCTGAGTTAGTGCCTCTCTGAGGAGGAGCATGCATGGAAGCTGGTGCTGCTCTAAGCAGCTCTCATCTCAGACCTGTTTATCATTTAATTTTCTCTTTGTTCTCCCCGGAAATCTGTTACACTGTGGCCTGGTTACTTTGTATTTACTTTTTCCCAGCCTGGTTACTTTGTATTTACTTTTTCCCAGCCATCAGACCCACAGAGGTATGTGCTTTTGAGTGATATTTCTGTGTTGGCATTTTGGAATCGTAGCCAAAATTCATGCATTATCTAACTTTGTTGCTTTTAACTTTTCAATCTAATTCCGTTAGATTTAGAAGTGAGGTGTTTTTTCCCTTGATGATTAAATTACCTCATGGAGGAGGTGTCTTCTATCAATACAGGTGTTTATCAGTGAAAATGTTTCTTTTCCTTCTCCCATAGAGCCCTTTCTAACATGGTATGGCTTGCTTAAAGGGATAAAACCATGTTTCATAGGAAATATGCTCACCTTAAAGGAATAGAGGAATACATTTTATAAATAGGACTAAATAGCTCAATAAAAATGGATTATCAGAGACTTGAGATGAGGGGCAGAAGAAAATAATCCAGCGTTGGATTATTGTAAATTCTGTCATCTAGAAGCAATTTAATATTGTGACATTTGCATCTTATGCATGAAGAACACGTATCAAGGAAAACAGTTTAGCAGCCCTTGCTATTTCAGTGATTCAAACTAGCTGTAACAGTAATTTAATTTATTATGTAAATTCTAGTTAAATAAATGCCAGAAGATATTTTTGTGTCATTAATGGGCTAATGTTTAGGTGTAAGCTGTGGATGTGGTTTGAAGACCGTTTCTTTTCCTTCTTAGATAATGAGCAAGTTAGACAGCTGCTCCTGGAGGGCGTGCCTGCGGAGTGCGCACATAGCTTTATCTGGAGCCAAGTGATCTGTAAGAGTGTCACAGAGAATAAAATCTCGGATCAGGTAACTAATAGTGTAAGGGTTACGGGTAAAATCATGAATGACAGGTGGAACGCATCATTCTTAGAGCCCTTTTTGTGCTTAGCAGACTTCCTTTTACCTTCCGGCAACTTGTTGATTCCTTATTCTTGATAATATTGTTCGCTTTCCTTTCTTTTTTCCTAGTAGTAGGGAAGGAGCCTTTGCACTGAGCTACATCCCCTGTTCTTTTTTTTTTTCTTTTTCATTTTAGAGACAGGATCATTGAGTGACACAGGCTGGGCTTGAATTTAACACAATCCTCCTGCCTCAGCCTCCAGAATAGTTGGGATTACAGATGTATGCTGCTGTGCCTGGCACACACTGTAATTTCTGTTCTCAGAGAAGAATGATCTCTAGGAAAAATACAAGGAAAGTCTTTTTCTTGAAGAGATAATTTCATGGTCTAAGTATGTTTTTCTTTTATTGTCATTTTCCCCCATAAATGTTCTCTGTCTAGTTAATTCTGGCTCCCAGTTGAGAGTACATTCAAATAACATCTCCTACCAGAGGCAGTATAGTGTTAGATGCTGGGATACGTGTTAGGGGATGGAGGAAGCCTAGGATGGGGTCCTGAGTCCACATTAGGGAAATGAAGCTGGCTTCCTGAATGGAAGAGCGGGTACATGAACTTCCTGTCAAGCGGGCCCAGAAATAGCTTTTCCTTCTTAGATAATGAGCAACTTTTGGAAGGACAGGTCAAGGCTGAGTGAAGAAAAGGTTTCAGAAAGTGAAAATAGCAGGTGCAGTGGCCCAGAACAAGACCAGGATGATATTTTCATGAGTTTCCCACTACTTTAGGAGGTAGTCAGCGGTGGGACAGCAGGTGAAACTGAATAGATAAATTTAAGGACCAGTGCATGAAAGAACTCCAGGCACTGGGGCCAGGGATTTAGCTCAGTGGCGTAAGCACCTGCTTGGCAAGCATAATATGGTCATGAGTTCAATCCCTGGTACCAAAAAAAAAAAAGAACTTGAGGCACTAAGGATTCAGACTGAGGATGTAAGGCACCCCTGAAAGTTTCCAGTGGGCTGTGACACGGTGGGATTTCACTGTGGCGGCACTGTAGATTAGTTAGGTGGACAGGGAAGCTGGAGAAAAGACGATGGGTTGGGAAGCCTTAAAATACTCCAAGTATGACATGATGGGGCCTGAATTAGGGCAGGAGTGGACATGCTGAAGTGAATATATTGTTTTCATGAAAAATTTAGTGATTACTGAAAGACAGGAAGAAAGGACTTTGCTGGAATGACAGTGTCTGCCTGGAAGAGCTGCCTCTGGGAGCGCGAGGCAGGTGGATTGCAGGTGTCAGCCCAGAATGTAGTGTCTCAGGAAGACCTTGTCTCACAGTTTTAAAAAAAGGTGTTGGAAATGAGTGTGAAGGTCCTAAGTTCAGTCCCCAGCAAACCCCCAGCCAAAAAAAAAGATGGAGAAAAGGATAGAGACATAGGATTTGTAGGTCAGCACCTAAGGTTCTGGCTAGGATTTAGGATCTCAGTTACAGGAGTGCTGGAGCCACGTCTGCCTCGTTCCCTGCTGCGTGTCCAGGTTCTAGAACGTGCCTGCATGTAAGAGGCGCTCAGTCCCCGTCTGAGTGGACGGAGGGAAGAACTGTGTGCGGCGCAGCGTCAGTTTACACAGAAGTTGCAGGGGAGGGTGAATGCAGTGGGAAGGGGGTGCTTCGAGCTGTGGCAACTTGGCTGAAACAGAAACCTGCTTTGCAGTGAACACTAGGTATATAGGTAGATGTAGTGGAAGCCAGAGCAAAGATAAAAAGAAGACTCAGTGTTGGTGCTGCTGACAAACGTGTGAGGTCACAGAGTTAGCGGGGGTCGCATGTTATGTTCTCAGTTGAGTGGTGCCCTCTCACCTGCTTGTGCGTGTCCCTCTACAGCTGGCAAGGAAAGTGAAGAGATGTTATCCCGTGTGTTCTACTAACAAATACTTTATAGTGTCTTCTAGTTTGTGTCTTTCAGAAGTGGTGAGATGTTTTCTCAAGAGCCACAATATTTTTCCAGTTGCCTGTCCTTAAGAAACTGTCATTAACTATATCTTTTTTTCATGCCAGGCTTAATCAAATGTAGGGACAGAATATAAATATATGAAATCAATTTTGATAGAAGATTATAGAATAAATGTATCATTTTGTAATTTTGAATCATCTAGCCCAAAATTAGCAAATATGAGACAGTTTGGCAGGCATTATCTAACAAAGCCCCTGGAAGAGGAAGCTCTATATAGGAGGAATACTTTGCTTATAATGGGTCACATTTATTTACTTATCCCCTTCTTTTTAAAAGGGCATTTAAGTTTCTAAAGCTGCTGGTAGGAGACCCAGTAGAATCTTGTACAAGACTGGAGTTGTTGGTCTTGAATTATTTTCTTCCACTTTAGGATTTAAACCGGATGAGAAGTGAATTGCTGGTTCCTGGCTCACAGCTTGTTTTAGGTCCCCGTGAATCCAGCATACCTATTCTTCTGATTCAGCAGCCGGGCAAAGCAACTGGCGAAGACCGACTAGGATGGGGAAGTGGCTGGGATGTCCTCCTCCCAAAGGGCTGGGGCATGGCTTTCTGGATCCCATTTGTAAGTTACTCTTTGATCTGACTAATATTTGCAACATCTAAAATGCATTCCTAATGAATGCCAAGTGCTGAAAGTGTTGTAGAGTGTATGTACAAAGCTTAATAGTGTATTTCTGCCCTTAGGAACTTAAATTCTGGGTACAGAATACTTCATACAAATAGTCCCAGTTCAGGTTCTCTCCTATGCTGACAAACTGTGAATTTCTGAGGTTTTTTTTTAAAATGGCCTGATTTTTATAGTAGCTGCAAAATGTTGTTTTCAACTTGAAGTTTTTAGTTGAAAAACAAAGACAGTATTTATAGAATATACTTTGTTTTTAAAATGTTAACTATGACTATATGGTACTCCCATTTATTGTAGCTAAATTTTTTATTAAAATGTCACCTTATATTTTTGTCATTGCTCTTTTTTTGTCCTTTTGAGACAAGGTCTCACTATGTAGTTCAGGCTGGCCTTGAACTCACTTTGTAGCTCAAGTTGGCCTTGGATTTACAGCAATCATCCTGCCTCAGCCTCCCAAGTGCTGGGATTACAGGTGTGTGTCACCACGCCCGGCATTAAGTATCACTTTGATGGTCCAGAGTGTGAATGACATATCAGACTATTTGATTCATACAGACAGTAAAATTTTAGCAATCTTAGTGTACAGGGCATTTAGTTAATTGTTTAGGAATGAGAACATTTTAAAATAATTATACTTAATTTTTAAAATTTTTGAAATGTTTCAAGCATCCAAAAAAATGCTGAAATAATAAATTCTGTGTACCCTCGCCTGCCATCCAGTTGAAGGACTGAAGCATGCAGACTCACTGGCATCACTCTGACCCGATTGACAACCTTACTCTCCTCTCCATGTCCTAAAGTCATCTCTATTCTGATTTTGGTGTTTGTCACCACTATACATATTTCTATAGCTTTATTAAATGTCTTTATCCCATTCTGAAATAACTGCATTTGAAATGCTTTTAAACTCTGTATCTCACTGTATGTGTGCTTTTGCTACTTGTTACATTCGTTTGGTATGGAGGTTTCCATGGTAAGCCAAAAGCTTCATTTCATTCATCTTCATTATCAATGGTAATCTACTGTAGGATTATCCCACCATCTGTTTACTCATTATTTTAATGCGCATTTTGGTTGCTTCTCATTTTTTCCACACAGATAATTAGCAACTTTAAGTTGGTAAATTGATGATGTCTTTCGATATTTTTTAGATCTATCGAGGTGCAAGAGTTGGAGGATTGAAGGAGGGTCTAGTGCATTCTCAGTATAAAAAGTCACCTTCTGTCCCAGCTGATTTCCCAGACTGTCCTGCTGGGGTTCTCTTTGCTGAAGAGCAAGCGAAGAATCTTCTTGAAAAGTACAAAAGGTAAGGAGGTGCCCTCTTTTCTGGTAAAGTCTTAGGGAGTGAGAAGTGGTGCCCCCCTACCTTGTCTAGCAGTTTGGACATCACTTCTGTAACTCTTCATATGCAGTGTGCTATCTTTTCTTGAGCGCTGCAATACCAGGAAGTAATTAACATGGTACTACTTAAGTCAGGAGATTGTCTTCTGTCCACCTGGCTTCTTCACAGGTGCATTCAGGTTACAGCTGTTCTCGTGGTTATTTACTGGCTTTGATAATGGTCCACCTGAACTGTGGCTCCAAGTTTCATTCACGTGCCAGTGGAGTCTCACTACCACCCTACTTCATGGGAATTGTGCGTTTAAAAAGCTGATTGTAGGAGCTGGGGATTTAGCTCAGCGGCAAAAGTGCATGCCTGGCAAGTGCAAGGTCGTGAATTTGATCCCTGGTACCCAAAAAACAAAAACAACTTATTGTAGAATTAATACATATTTCTAAAATTTTAAAGAACCTATGAAAATAGTTAAAAATACTTCACAAATTGATGTAGTCCTATTATCCAGATAGATAAGCACTATTTTTATATTTTAGTAGCTGTTTATCTAGACTTTCTTTTCTTTAACTGGAGATCTGTGAATGAGGGGCTTTATTTCCTTTACATAGGAAAGTCACAGGACATCAGGAAGCTGTCTGCTACTAAACTGTGGACGCCTTCTCTGTCTCTCCCTCCTTTGTTGTGGCATCTGCAGTGTCTAGCCAGGCCTGGAGCATGGTGGGCCTTTGTATCTTTTATTTTTTGTTGTCTGATGCTCAAGTGTGAGACAGAATGTTACGCTCCTTTTACCGAACTCTTTAGGGACCAAGTTGTGCCTTTCTCTTCCCTGCTGCCGCCACAGAGGCAGGCACAGGGCCTGGCCTTCCCGCTGTGTGTTTGGTGATGGATGGCAGCTGACTGAGGGGCTCAGCGGTGATGCTTCCTGGATTGTTCGCTGACCAGCTCTTTGAGGGTGGTGATCATGTGTAGTCCTTGTATTTCCCATAGTATGTAGTCGAGGTCCTTTATGTGTTTGATCAAAATTGAGACACATATTTTAGTGCATGTACATTTTCTGTAGATAGAGCATTTTTTAATGAAAAGATTGTTCTACATAAACTGTCTTGAAACCTGCTCTCTTCATTTAACAGCAGCTCGTGGATGGTTTCTTCATGTCAATAACTCTAAACCAAACGTTGGCACACTTTTGGCAGAGAACCAGATGATGAATATTTTTGGCTTTGTGGTCCCTTTGGTCTCCATGACAACTACTTAGCTCTGTCATTGTGGCATGAAAACAGTCACAGAAGACATGTAAACTAATGAGCATGGCTGTGGTCCAATCAGACTTTATTTATGGATACTCATATTTGAATTTTATGTAATTTTCATGTGTCATAAAATATTATTCTTTTGCTTTTTTCAACCACTTAAAAATATAAAAACCATTCTTAGCTCATGGGTTGTACAAAAATAGGCAAGGGCCAGATTCAGCCTGTGAGTCACAGCTTGCCTGTTCTGGCTGGAAATAGAACTTTGAGTGATGCCATGGGATTGCGATATGGATGCATGTTTTATCAGTGGCCCGTTGGGAAGGTCCCGGTTTCTCGCTGTGTGCTCTGTGCTCATTTCCCTGTGCCCACCTCTGTGTATGTGTCTGATTTATTCATTCACTGAACACATCCTGACTTAGAGCGTACTGTGGGTCCAGCACCACCTTAGGCATCAGGGCTGTCACAGAGCAAGGCTGACAGTCTGTCCGTGGGTCCATGGGGCCTGTCCTTGACAGAGCACAAGCTTCCAGGCTGGTCAGGGGACTGCAGGAGCACTGCTCGGGAGAGGGAGCGAGGTTCAGCACATGGATGGAGGGGCAGCATCCGACAGGAGGGCAGTCCAGTTCTTCCATTTTAAAGAAGTCTGAGTCCAGGCTTAGTAGGTAGACCCGTGCTGGGGCGATGGGGGTGACGCTGCCTGGATTGTGACCATCTTAGTGAACAGAGTCGGGAGGTTGTGAGCTGGAAATGGGAAGTAGAGAGGGCCTGCTGGAGGTTTGAAGAGAGAGGAATTGTTGTAAGCAATTTTCTGGAAGAACAGAAGATTGAATTGACAAGAAATAAGGGCTATATAAGGAAAGGAAGAGAGCTCGGACTTGTTTTGTGTCTATAAAGTACGTAGGACTGTTGAGGACCATCGGGAGTCCTTCCTGCTGCGTGCCCCCATCCGACGCCGGCACAGGGCACCAGTAGCTGCTCTAACCAGGCCGGGCTCTGCCAGGTGGAGGGAGTGGAGGGCCCCTGTGGGGGAGCGACTGTCACGCCCTGGGACTGACTCTGTGCCGAGAGGCAGGGCTGAGTGGGCGGTGGGAAGCGGTGAGGAGGTGGCCGTGTAATGGAGGAGTTGGGGAGCGCGGTGGGGGTTCATAGAAGGCAGTGCTGCTGGAGTGGCGTGTGAGCCGGAGAGTGGTCCCAGGTGCAGGGACCAGTGTATCCCAGGTAGGTCAGTGTATTCAGAGGGCGATTTATGGGTGACTGAGTCGCTGAGTGACCACAGGTGTTTGGGGATGGCGGAAAGGGCATGGCGGAGAATGGGGCATCTGGGAGCTGGCAGAGGACCTGCCTTAGCAGTTCCCTGGCCAGGGGTTTATCCTGGCCCGCTGACACAGCGGCTGCAGTGCGCACTGGGTCGTATGCACTGTTTGTAGAAGCGGAGGCTTGGGAATGACCCGCATCTTTCAGCTGCCTGGGGAGATTATGGTGCATTCATATGGTGGAAAAGGAGCGACAGCAGTTTACAAAGAGTACGGGCGACTGGTGTATTGATAGAAGACGGTCTCCGAGACACTTTGATAAATAGGGAAAGTGAGGTGAAAAGTACTGTACCAGGTGTGCGCCCCTGGAGTAGAAAGGGACAGATGCCTGTGGCTGTGTGCACATGAAACGTCTTCCGAGGGATAGCTAAGAAACTGATACAGACATTGTCTTTGTGGAGGACAGCAGGGTCACCGGGAGGGGAGGTCAGGAGTGAGAATGAAACTGCACTGTGACCGTGGGCTTAGCACCTTAGACTACAGGACATCTCAAGTCTCAGAGTGTCGTGCACCTGAACTCTCAGGAATGGCGCTGCCTGGCGCTGTCCAGTGATTATGTGGAACTACTTTGTAACTCTCAAAGACCAGAGGAAACAGAAACTCTTGGCCAGTAGTGTTGACTGCCATCTTCTTGTCATGCATTTCCTAGAAAGCGTGTGTGTGTGTGTGTGTGTGTGTGTGTGTGTGTGTGTGTGTGAGGCGGAGATGCGTTACAATGGGCCTAATTGTTTTAATTGTCACTCTCCAGATACTGAAAATCTGTTCTCCTCCATGTGTTTCATTAGGCGCCCTCCGGCCAAACGGCCCAACTATGTGAAGCTGGGCACAGTGGCACCTTTCTGGTGTCCCTGGGAGCAGTTAACTCAGGACTGGGAGTCCAGAGCGTGCACCCGAGAAAGGTCTTCTGTAGACTCCTCTCCAAGCAGTGAGGAGAGCGACCTGAGAAGATGCGGGGTGCCTCACGCCCCCACACCACGTGCTGAAGCAGGCAGATCTGAAAATGACCCCGTGAAGTCAGAAGTCATGGACACAGAGTGTCAGGACCAGACAGGGACTGAGAGGGTGACGGGCCAGGGTGCCAGTGAGAACCGTGTTGCTGTCACCAGTAGTCACTTCTGTGTTCTTAGGTAAGTGCAGGTGACTCCAGGATATACTTTGCATTGTTTATTTTTTTACTGAGCAGCCCGTGAGATGTAGAAGTTAGCGCTGTTCCTTTATGCAAAACCCAGGTGAATGCTTGGGCTTTCTGGAAGGAGTCCTTCGATGTTGCATAGAGGACCCAGCAAAATAGTTTGGTAGTCGTGGACCTGAGGGCGTGATAGTACCTGCTGCAGTGGAAGTCCTGTCACCTCTGGTCCTAAACCGAGCAGTTTTCCCTTGGATCTCTTTCCCTCGGTGTCTCAGGCTATGCTGTGCCCGCAAGGGTGTGGTCCTCTTCTCTGAGCAAGCTTGTGTTGCTTTGCATCCCTCAGTTACAACTCCCCTGGTTCCTTTGAGTCATGGGCTCACGGTGGGTCAGCAGCCTCCCTGTGACGTGGTCCCATCCTGCGGCTTCTGGGTGATACGCGTTCCACCCTCAGTACTGTGCAGACCAAGTTCTGCCCGGCAGCTCCTGTGGAGCACGCTCTCATTTTAAAAAGCGCTGATCTCTGTCCCTCATTCTACTCTTCCTGTACAATTACTTCAGAATTTCATATCCTGTTTTCTTCACATCTAGATGTCCCTTCAGATTTTGCTCATCAGAATACCTGTTGTCCCCATCCTGTCACCAGGATGACAGCCCTCCATTCCATCCACTGTCTTATTTTTCTCGGCCTTCAGCTCCTTAAACCTTTAGTTTTAGAATGATAGGCACAAAGAAAAACATTTTTACTTAAATATATTAATATGTATTTTTAGTTTTAAAAATAGTTTTGATACTTTCTCACCTATAATCTAAAAAAATCAAATTAACTCTAGCAATGCCTGATCTTCTGATATCTTTCTGAACAAAATATCCTCAAATGTATGTCTCTGGCTTCGTGTAGGAGTAGAACATTATTGAAGCAACTGTCCGCCTGGTGCGGGCCCTATTCTGAGGACCGGCAGGCAGTGCGCTGGGCCGCTGGCCGAGGCCAGCAAGGACTGACCAGAGAGGCCTGCCTGGCTTTCACAGACCGCTTCCCCAGGGCCCTGGTGTGGGTCAGCCTGTCCCTGCTCAGGAAGGGCAGCCCCGAGCCGCACACCATGATCTGCATTCCAGCCGAGGAAGACCTGCTCCAGCTCCGTCAGGACCAGCAGTACTGCGGGCCCCAGGAGCCCCGGCACAGCGACCCGTTCAAGAGCATGATCCTGAAGCAGAAGGACAGGAAGAAAATGGAGAAAAGGCGGAACCCAGGAAGCCTGGCAGCAGGGCCGCCCGAGGCCGGGCAGGAAGCCCTGACCCTGGGCTTGTGGTCAGGCGCCCTCCCGGCTGTGACTTCACACTGCTCCAGAGCCGTGCTGGGTTTCGTCACTCAGGGAGACTTTTCCATGGCCGTGGGCTCTGGAGAGGCCCTGGGGTTCGTCAGCCTGACGGGCTTGCTGCATCTGCTGTGCGGCCAGCCGGCGGCCGAGCGGGGCCTGGTGCTGCTGAGGCCGCCCGCCTCCCTGCAGTACCGCTTTGCGAGAGTCACTGTAGAGATGTGACGCGGTTCACCGCCTCTCAGGCTCGGGCGGGACCGTGCCAAGTCCCCCAGCTGGACAGTCAGCTTTCCCTGTCTTCTGTTTCAAAATATGATGTGAAACTCCTTGGAAACAATAAAGAATGACATGTTATGCAAATGATGAAAGGTTTACATCATTTCAGTTCTCGCTGATTTCCATCTTTCCTTGTCCTGGCTACAATACAGTTGTTTGGCTGTATAGCCAAAAGCTTTTGTGTCATGACCTCTGGTCTGGGTGACTCTTACTGAAAAGTTTTAGAAACCCTACTTTTTATCATCCCTTTTTTGTTAGGAACGAAGTTCTGTTTGTAAGCCCTTGTAGTAATGTGCTAAGCAGCATGAGCACTTCACCGATTTGATTGTTACCAAAGAAGGAAAGACTGTATAAACAGCTGGCTTCTTTGCGTGAAATGTAGGCCCCTGTGTAGGCCATAATCAGATACTGAATACTTCATGCCAGAAGATGGATAGAAAGAACTCATGGAGAGTTGATCACTGCTTGTTTTTAGGCAGGTTCAAGGGCCCAGGCACAACGGCCCAGTCAAATGTGATCACCAGTGACCGAGTGTTGGGCAGGAATGAAAATGGTGGCGGTCCATGGCTTTGTGACCTCTTGACTGCTTTGTGATTGACCAAAGTGTGATCTTAGGAATTAATTTTTTTAAGTAAAAAAATTGTTTTATAAAGAATTTCCCAAAAGCATAAAGGAACATTTTCCCAAATATGTCATATGACATATATAGTGTAAAATTAAAGATTGCAAGGTGAGGTTGATTTGGGAAATTCTGGGGCTAAACCAAGTTAAGCCTTTCTTTATGAAGGGACCTCTTGACTCTTCTGCGTCATAATGGGCGTTGTGAATCTCCCGGAAGAAGGCTAACAGTATGTAGTACTGTCCTAGTCATTTCCTCCTGGGACAGACACCTGACACCCCCGACTTAGGGAAGAGAGGTTTACTCTGGCTCATGTTTCAGTCCATAGTTCACTGGCTCCGAGGCAGCAGGCGGCATGGCAGAGCAGAGCGGCCACAGCATGGTGGACAGGAAGCAGGGCAGGGAGGAGCAGGAGGAGGATAAACCTTCCAGGCTAAGCCCTCAGACCCCACCCCTGGGGAGCCAGGCAGCCACAGGCCCCCATAATCCGGTCACCTTCTAAACCCAAGAGCACCTGAGGCTCTTGGGAGACATCTAGATTAAAGCAAAGCAAGTATTTTCTAAATCTTTGTGATTCCCCAAACGGCTTTTACAAGGAGCGCTTTGTAGGGTGTGTGCTCAGGGACATGCCTTGGTCAGTATGGCTGTGTGGTGCCATAGCTGTCTGCCGTGTGACATGAGCAGGTCCCCGCCACCACCAGTGCAGTCACTGAGGTCTTGGGCATGAGAGAACCTCAGCCTGCCTGCTGCTTTTATTCGGGCGGCTCATCCAGTTTAAGTGTCTTAACACCTTACTTTCCTTTGTTAATCTCTAGCTGTGTAAACGTGCAGTTAGGTGCTGTTTCAGATAAAAGCCTCACGTTTTATAGTGGCATTTGACAGGTCTCTGGGGGCTGAGCTGTGGAAGGTGCCACAGCCCTTGTAACAGGGCCAGTTGGTCCTGGCTGCCGTTTTTCCTCTCACCATCCCTCTGAGTGTCTGTCTAACCCAAAGGAGAGCAAAAATAGTAGAAGTGGTGCCTGGAAACAGAATAAATCAGAATGTCACCTGCTGTTCAGCTCATGTGTTTTCTAGGCTCGGAGCCGCTTCATCTGTGTGGTTCACCTCTTGACAAAGCCTGAGGTGCCCATATGGTCACCTGACCCCATTCTGTACTGCCCCCAGTCTGGGGCCTCCTGCCCCGCCCTCATCGCAGGGGACAGGCACATTTGCAGTCCCTCCTCCCTGGGGATGGTGGGTCAGAGCCATGCGCAGAAAGGATAGAGCAGCACTTCTTAAAACATACCCTGTGAGCACCGGTCTCTGGGGAAAGGTGTTTGTGACTAAATTTGTAGAGCTATGTGTGTAGAGCAGATTCACAGTGAATGTTTGCATAGCCAAGACTCTGGGGATCTCCGGAAAGAAAACTGTTTTGTCTTTCAGCCTCCGCCCCTGGCTTTGTATACCTGTGGTCTGCAGAACACTAGTTTTAGGGAATACACGATGAAAAGCTGCAAACATCTGCACAGATGCAGTGGAGTCTACATCCCTTACGGAAAAGACCGTTGGGAAAGACCTCATTCTCTAAGCCAAGTGAATTGGTTGTGCTCTCATTTTGATCCTGATAGGTGCCTGCCACGCTGAACTAGAGCCACGCCATCACCACGGAAGTACAGCAAGGCCCTGTCTTGCTGAGGGGACAGCAGTTTCGGGGTCCACAGAGGAAGTCCTCCTCAAACCAGTTACATACTTGAATCTTGCAGAGCATAGAATTGATTCTTCTTGCTGGGTGACTATGCTTTGCTTCTTTAGGAATTACATAAGTAATACTGTTACCCGGTCATCCATCTTCACAGGGTAACTAGAAAATGACAGTTCAGTCTCCTGGGTTTTCGCCACCTTTGCCTAGCTACGTGGGCACTAAGATGCACGGGAGCGGGGGGCAGTTTCCTTTTAAGAAAAATAATATTAGTGATGGCTTAAATACAAGTGCAGTACAAGTGGTGTTGCCAGTTCATTAGGAAGCTTGATTAGCAGGACGCCTAATGTTAATTATCCTTTTGCTGGAGCTAGAAATCTGGTAGTAAACAGCCCATCATGTACTGATGTTGCCTGGCTGTCTCAGCCCCAGGGTCTCCTCCCCGAGATCTCTTTCTCCTCTTTTTACAGATACTTCAGAATTAAAAAGAAACCCAAATTTGAGACAGTTCTGGTCTCTGGGTCTTGGCTAAGGGGTATTCACCCTGAAATACTAACGTTAGTGATCAACGGGTCTCTCGGAGCAGCCCTGTGGGTTGCACAGCATCCCTGGTCCCTGTGGGCCTCCGAGGCATGTGAGGGCTAAGGCTGTTCTCTTGTTTCCTGCCTTGTGAAGTGGCACACTGGAACTTGGAGTGTCACATGAAAGGCTTGGTGGGCCAGAGTGGTGGCTTCCACTCTGGGAGAGTCTGCGTCTTGAAACAGAAGCAAGCCCAGCTCATCCATTAGCCCACAGAACCCTCACCACTGTGCAGAACCGAGCAAGGTGTTTTATTCTCTCAGGGCAGGTGTGCTCCTGCACCTCAGCTGCATGCCAGATCCACCAGGGAGTGTTGAAAGCCCTGGAGCCCGGTTCACCCCAGGCAGCAGATTTAACTGATCAGGGGTGTGGCCTGGACATTGGGGTTCTTAAGAGCTCCCAAGTGGCACGAAGCCCACTGCTCAGACTTGTAAAATAGGCTGCAGAGCACATAGCCAGAGACACAGCGCATCCACAGTGGGAACCACACAGGGCAGGGCAGGGCAGGGCAGGGTAGGGCAGGGCAGGGCAGGAGCAGATAGGGGCTGCTGGGCTTGAGGCTCACAGGAGTAACCGGTGACTCTGGCTGGGGTCTGCTGGGCCCACGCACATGGCCAGTTTACACCAAAGCACTTCCTCTCCTTCCTGATGTTCTGAGGTGACCCGGTGCTGTTCTGGAAGGTGCGTTTGGAGATGCAGCTGTCCAGTTTATCTCCGTCTCACCACTTGCCCCTGGGCCTCGCTCATGGTGCTCTGAGCAGGGTCCCAGCTCCTTCTGCAGCTCAGCGCTGCTCCCATGATATCTTTTGCTGCTGCTCTGCTCTCCTGGGGAGAGCCTTGTGCCACCTCCTCCCATCTTTCTGAGCCTGATTTTTGTTTCTCAGGAAGGCCTTTTCTTGCTCTGTTTAAAACAGACCCGTCCTGCCTACAAGGTCCTCTGTCTCATGATGGGCTTATTTCCCAATTACGACAGAATGTGTAATAGTCAGCTCTTTTCCCCATCAACTTGTTTGTTGTCTACTCCGTTTTACCCTGTGAGCCCAGGAAGGTGAGACTGTATCTTTAATTTCTATTTCTCAGGAAGTAAACCCAGGTTTTGGCAGAGTTCTTAAACCATACTTGTGTTTAATGAAGTTTCGTCGAACTGATGTACAGTATGCATCAAAGAGGGTGCTGTGTTTGTATTATGCTCTCTCACAGGCTGGGTGTGCATTGTAATGAACAAATCGGCCACAAGGTGGTGCCAAGACCTCACGAGTAAACGGCTCATTCTAGAAAAACAATGGGAACTAAAGAAATTCCTGTGTCCTCCCTTGGGCCGCAGGCTGGAGAGTGGCAGGGCGTGAGGGGACATGAGGTCAAGGATCAATCAATAGTTCCTTTTTGGAGGTAAATCCATGCTAACAAAATCATACCTTAGAAGATGGTGAATTTTAAAGAGGTGCCTACAAAAGAACAACTTTTTGTTTTTGTTGTTCTTTTGTGTTTGAGACAGGGTCTCGTTATGTATTCCAGGCTGGTCTTGAACTCACTGTGTAGTTCAGGGTGGCCTGAAGCTCATAGCAACTCTCCTGTCTCAGCCTCCTGAATGCTGGGATTATAGGTGTGAGCTGCCATGCCTGGTTTAGAACAATTTTAAAAGCTTTTATCCAGAGGACAAGTTTTAGCCATATTGACTCCAGTAACGTGGTCCCCCTCCATCAGGAGTGGAGGCCTCATTACTCCCCAGGAAATGCCACCGCCACCTCGACAGCAGATGGCCAAATGCCCCTTTTAGCTCTAATTTCAAGCTATCTTGTGGCATTCTTACTTGAGCTCATGGTGAGAGACATCCCTTTATTTTTATGAAGTCAATTACTAGCATTTTGTTTTCTTTCCTCCAGGCTAAACAGGCCTCTTTCTCTAGCTTTCCCTCTCTATTTCCAACATCTCACAAAGGACCTTAAGTTGTTTTTTTTGGACTAGATGTCGGAGAGGCCTGCACAGCTGTGTGGGCCCGGGCAGAGCTGTCCCCTGGAGGGAGAGTCTGGGTGCTGGGGACTCAGCCACTGCTGCCTGGGGCCATGCATTCCTTTGGAGCCAGCAGGGCACAGGCTACAGGCAGATAATTTGTGTTAGGAAGTGACCTAAGGGGACAGGAAGGCGGAGGCTGGGGAAGGACAGAGAGCTGGTCCAAGCAGCATTCTGAGCTGGTTACCCTGGGGCCCT